TTTGCTGATGCTATGATTCTTCTAATTTACGAGTTTGAAAAGGAATTGTCATATGAGATATCAGTGAGGTTCCTGTTGTTCTATGCCTTCTAGCTATTATTGTACTACACACTGTAATAAACTGTCTGTTTGAAGCTTACTTCGATCTATCTGATTAGATCGAAGTAAGCTTCAAACAGACAGTTTATTACAGTGTGTCTTATAAAGCTTTCCAGAACGTCGTTCCCTATTTAAACATTTTTTTAGTACTTTCCGGCTATTATTTTACATATTAACATATTTTGCTTCCTTTCTTCTCTTACTATTCTTTGGAACCTTTTCTTAATAGCGCTTATTGCTTTCCCCATTTGCTTAGTATAGTCCTTCGTCCACCGTGGACCACTTTTGGGGCCCTGGGCTTTTGTTCGCGGTTTTGCGGGTTTCTCGATACGAACGAAAAGTTACATAGAAATTTGAAATTTTCAACAACTAATGAAGCCTCGCTTGAAGCAAAAACAATTTAGGTAACTCTTAACAAACACTTTGTGCATTTTTAGACATAGCAGTACTGAATACTTGAAAATGAAATCAAAATTTACTTATCTTTTTCGAAATGGCGTAGTAGTCATTCATTTATTCACTAACTTGTTCTAAGTAGGGTATATGGCTGTAGCTGCTTACCCGATGACGTCTGGGGTTTCTTTGCTCCACAGGCAACTGCTCACTCTTTCTGCCCCTGGCACGTTTCTCTATCAACTTTGACTTCCAAGAGAAGTTATCCTTTGGAGATGATCTTTTTCTCCCCTCGGGGCATGTTGTTCATTGACTGCGGTGGAACACCGTCCGTTTGGCTGTTACCCATCATCCAGCCTCTGCCACTTGCCGGGAAACACTCTTGTGTCTTTCGTCGGCTTTGATTAGTTCCCACTGGGCGTTGGTGGTAGTCGGATCGTAGTGGTTGCTTCGTTGATCGTTGCGGCTCCCTTTCCGCCGACCCCTGGTGGAACTCTGGTTGTTGCGGTTGCTTCATAGATCGTCGCGGCTCCCTTTCCGTCGAGCGCTGGTGGATCGCTGTGGCTGCGTCATTGAACGTTTTATCTTTCCTTCTGCCGGCATGTAACGTTGTTGTCTGCTGATCAGCTTTAAAGACCGTTCTACTCTTTTTGTTCTTTTCGATAGCTCCTTCTCCTGGCCCTCCTTTTTTCCGTGTTGGCCTTATGCCTCTTATGCTACTTGGCTACAATCTCGTTGGTTCTCCCCTTAGAAGCCACACCTAATAACTGCGTATGGGCTTGCAGCTGGATGTTCACTGTAGTTTCTCAAATATTTTTTATTATACAAGGACACTGAAATTTAGGGCAGAATTTTACTACTTTTCCAACAGAAGCACAGGACACGTTATGTTTCCTATATAACACTTACTGCCCTCCTTTACAATTTCCTCTCCTCCGCCTTTTATCATAATACAATTTTTGCTTACTTCTTGCCATATCAGAAGATTTAATGGATTCATCGACTAATTTTTTTTTATATCCGCCATCTGAAACTCGGCAACACGCTTTTGCACAAAAAATAGTCTATCGAGGGGTCCTCGTTTTCCTTCGTAGAAATAATTCTGTTGGGGTTTTCTCAGTCGTATCATATATCATTGTCCGTAATGCAAACTCGAGCTAATCATCCGAACGTCTGTGATACTTGTTCACAAAACTCCGAATTATTTTAACGATCTTTTTACTTTTTTTGCAATATTAGATTGTGGTCGATAAGGGACCATCTTCAAGTGGCGTATGTCAGGCCCTGCACATATATCATGAAATATCTGACTAACAAATTGGGGAAGGTTATCTGATTTTATTTTTAATGGTTGACCATATTTTAAAATAAATTTATGTAGAAGGGGATCTGCAAGTATTTTGTCTGAAGTCGTTTTCAGGGGAATTATTTCTACCCATTTGATAAAATGGTCTATAATTGCAAGCAAGTAACGGTGTTTATTCTTATCGCCTCTCGGATTGATACTTATCGCTTTTCGTAGGCGATCGACCCCGAACAATTCATTTGGGAAAGTAGTCTTAATGCTATTTAGGTGTTCTGCGGGCCAGTAATTAATATCATTAACTATTTGGCAGATATGACAGGACTTGATATACTCTTTAACAATTCCTGGCAATTTTGGACAGAATACCGCATTCGTACACGTTTAACTGTTTTCCTAATACCGAGATGACCGGAAATCGTTCCATCATGTAATTCTTGCAAGACGCTAACTGTCAAATTCGTTGAGATGACGGCCTAAGCTCATTATTTTCATTAGTAGCATTTGAGAAAAACAAGAGATTATCGATAATTTCATAACGGGCAGCTCTATTTCTAACGGCTGTTATCTGGATGCTCATAAGTATCTGGATCCTGTACCTATACATAAATGTTGTTAAATTCTAGATCTGGTTTTTAGTTCAGCGATAGTAGTATATATAGGGTCTAAGATTTTTGAAGTTAACATTGTGCATTTAACTTGATTCCTCTGTTCGTCTAATTTAATTCGAGAAAGAACATCTGCGATAACATTTTCTTTGTGAGATAAATGTTTCAACGCTAAATTATATTCCTGCAGTTTCAATGCCCACCTTGTCAATAGAGGTGACAAGTTGATTCCCGTGTAAAACCTAAGAATAACAGAATGGTTAGTGTAGACTGTTACGGGTTGCTTCCCGAAGTATACATGGGGTTTTTGTATTTTCAGTAAGACAGCTAGTGGTTCACGTTCGGTAGCCGTATAATTCCTCTGGGTAGGATTGAGCGTCTTACTTAAGAATGCTACTGGCTGCCCCACTTGAGACATGACGGTTTCTGCGGCAAAGTCTGATGAGTCTGCAGATATTTCATGCCGACCAACAAAATTTTGCTTTTCAGTTTTAAGAAAATCTAAGCTTTATGTACAAAGTTATTAATAAAGAACCTGTGATTTGACTGTGATGACCTAATTAGAGCCTAAATAAAGAATCTGTAATATGAGCACATTCCGAGAAATGACACAAGTTTTCTCGCGGTATTTGGCGGAGGGCAGTTTTTATTGCCGATAATTTTTTAATCTTCAGCTTCGAAACCTTCAGCGGAAAGTTTATATCCTAAATATTTCAATTCCTTTGCCGCGAGTTATTAGGATTAGGATTTTCTTTTAAAATAGCATCTTGTAAAAGTATAAAGACTTCCGTCAAATGTTTTATATGCTCGACTACCGTCTTACTGGAAACAATGATATCATCTAAATAGATGGATATGGATTTTCCGAGAAATGGACGAATAATTATGTCCATTGCTCCTTGAAAAGTGGCGGAGGCACCACATAAACCGAATGGCATACGTAAAAATGCGTAAGCGTCAGATTTTGTGATAAACGCCGTCTTATTAACATCCTTCGGTTTCATATAGATTTGAAATTAGCCAGATCTAAGATCTAGCATTGTCATTGAAAATTTTGAAAATGAATATTGGTTAAATTATGGTTTATTTTATAAAATACAAAGGTAAACCATATATGCTAATGAAAAGATTTGCATAATGTAATATTTTGCATATCAAATTTACACCACTATCGAACATTCTCAATAAAACCTGAATTTTCAGATTCATCACTATCTGCAGAGGAATCCGAGAAATTCTCATCGGTTTCGCTATAACTATCTTCAATATACTTGAAATCAGAGTCAGAACTACTATCAGTCACGGAAATATTGTGGAATTTATTGGTCTAATTATCTCCTCTAAGATCGTTAACGGGTAAATTGGATACCTTGTAACATTATTTAATTTTTGATAACCTATAGCAAACCGCCATGCTTTATTTTCCGTAGGAGATAAATGAATCTTTTTCAACATAATACGACTGGGCGTGCGAACGGACTGCTACGGCATGATAATCTCATTTTATAACCTTCTCACTGCGTCTTTTTTTTTTTTTTTTTTTTTTATCAAAATAGGTTCAAAAATTGCGTATTTTTTTATTACATATTTCAAATCTACATATATTTTAGAGTTAAAATATACAAAAATTTGTTTATAAAAGAGTGGGTTTTTCTTTTTTTTTTTTTTCCAATATAGAATTAGATCATAGAGAAAGGTTGTCAGATACTGAAATTGAAGAATAATGACATAAAAGGAAAATTTTGAAAATGATTATTAGTTACATTACGATTTATTTTATAAAATACAAAGGTAAAACATATATAATAATGAAAATATTTGCATAATGTAATATTTTGCATATCAAATTTATACCACTGTCGAACGTTTTCAATAGAAACTGAATTTTCAGATTCATGACTATCTGCAGAGGAATCCGAGAAACTCTCATCGGTTTCGCTATAACTATCTTCAATATACTTGAAATCAGAGTCAGAACTACTATCAGCGTCGGAAATATTGTCAGGAATATAGGTTATATCACTCGCGAAACACTTCCTTCTAGACATCTTTGAGCTCTGAAAAGTAAGCGCAAAATGCTACATTACGTATTCTTGTATATTTGGCAGAAATGTGGACAACTAACGCCATCTATTAGCCCACATCTAAATAAACAATTAAACATCACAGAAAAGCCGAAAGGAAACCTTGAACGGGGAAAGAGCGGGTTGCACAGATAAATAGACGGCATAAATTCATCTCCGCGGAAATCGCGGTTTGCGCAAATTTTGCTACTTGCGTTGCCCGTGAAAACCGCGGGATGCGCAGCGAGAAGATAAACATGTCTTTTACGTGCTTTTCTATTATCGCTTCCTTTCATTATCATACCTGTAGATCTAAGCCCTACAGGTACGATCTACAGGTACGATCGAAACATCGCTTCGACAAGTAATATATTAATATCTACATGCAATACTTACTGAGGCTAAATTTTACGCAAAACGTGATACTGCATGTCATATGTACGCAGATTTGCTATGAAAATTCTATGTTCAGATTTGCCATAAAAATGTCATACATATTCCACATTCATGCTGATTAATTTTTTTCGTCTGCAGATTACATTTACTGCCGGTATAAAAAGCAGCGTTGAAGCACTTATTGCAGTAGATGACATCCGACTTGATCTGGGAACTTGTCCTGAAACAGGTAGGCCGTATTCAAAGATTTCTACTAGAATCTAAAAGCTGTAACCTCTTTATTGATTGAAATGTGTAATTTGTAAATTTAATTTTAAAGTACTAGGAGCAAGCAACAAAGAATTCTTAGTTACAAATATCTGGTCATCTTTCTTACATTTTCGAAAACATCGAAACTATTTTACTCGTACATATAATTCAGTTGAATTTTGCTGTCTCACTAATTGTTTGGTGTAATTGCAGATTCTGGTGAATCTTTATCGTTTCATATCGCTGAATTACTTTGCGAGAAAACAATGCACAATCCGTTTTTAAATAAATTTTATTTTATGCCGTTTTTACAAACTAGAAGTCATACGTACACGCTAAAAATAAACTATGTTGAGTGGTTATAGCATTGGGATAGTCAAAACGTGGCGCACTGGACGACTACAAGTGACGCTTCAGTCACTTCTGATTGAGCCATCTTGTATCGAGGTTTGAAGGAAAGCTTTTGCCAGAGAGTTTTGTGTGCTTGTGATTTTTAATTTGTATGATACGATGTTACTGTGATTAACAACGGAAAAACAATGACCAAAAGAAGGGCAGAAAGTGATAGTAGGCGTGAATTTAGTTAGTGCACAATAAGAAAGAGAGTTATTATTTATTGTCAATTCGTTAGGAAAAACGTTTCACATTGCTTATGAAAGCACGTTGCACATAACAGAAGACATAACACAGCATCAGACTTACATACAAGAAAGAAAATGAAGTTTGTTCTTTTGTCTGAGTTGCAAAAAGTGTATGCAACTAAGAAAGAGAAAGAAACCAGAAGACAAATTTGCTAAATTTATTTGTGAAGATTTACCATTTTGACAAAAGAGTCATGTTAAACTGCTTTAGCATTTGCATTAGAAAAAGAAACTTTTTCTGATGAAGAAGAAATTGTTAATCCTTGTTTCCAAATATTTACTCGCCATCTTGATAATGGGGATAATTAAAGAAAAGCGGACGAAATTACTATATTAAAGCAGATAGTTAGAGATGTATTGAGGAATTCTCCCAAGATGTACGAAACAATCGTAAGATCTTGTCCATTCTTACGCTTTCTTTTCTCTAGTTTTGATGAATCAGCCGATATATGTGATGTTGCATTTAAATCATCCTGCTCTAAATATCTGTAATACCATTGCATTATATACTAAGAGGAACTATAAGCCAAAACCTTAGCATGTTGTGTTAACGGTTATGAAATATGTGAATAAAATTAAAGCAAGAGCATTAAACAGATCGGAATCCAGAAAATATTGCAAGTTGTTAGATTTGCAATATGGTGATCCTAACTTTCATTGTGAAGTGCGCTGGTTGCTACAGAACAGGTCCTGAGTAGATTTTGGAAATTGAAAAATGCTGTTTCTAATTTTTTTAGAACAGGGAAATGAACTATCTTATGGAAGAAACCTGTTATTTGACAACTAGCTATATTACTTGGCACTTTTAGTTAAAATTACAAGAATTTCAATGATTTAAGGGGTATCAGGAACCCCTATACCGACAATGTTAAATTGGCCATTTTCAGTGTACCTTTGCTCAAAATCTGCTGTAGATACACGCTTGAAATTTTTTGTGTAATTAAAGTATACCTATCTGATTATACTGAAGTGAGCTTTTGAAACATTTTGAATTTTTGAGTAATTTACAGTATATTTTGTTAGGCATAGTAAAATTTAGCACTTTTCTCACACTCGCTTAGTTTATCACAAAAAGCTCATTTCAGTAAATATTAGGAAACCTAATAAATAAGCTATAAAAATTTTAGATACTTGCGAGCAGTAGTTTCTGAGAAAAGGTATATCGAATATAAAAAAATGATGTTTAGAGAAAAACGCGTTTTTATGTAAAAAATCCTCATTTATCAAAGCATTCGATAACAAATTAAAACTAAATGTTTTACAGTTCTAATTTTCATAGAGATTAAAGAATGGTATTTTTAGAAAGATAAAAGTATAGAGAATTTAAAAATGCCAAAAATCCGAAATCACAATTTTTTGAAGATTTTTGGGGTTCCGACATCCCTTAAAATTGCAAGAGAAGAATAAATTAACTTCCTAGCTTAATGAACCGGATCAGTTCATTTGAAATGTTCTGTTTATTTCTCTGTTAAAAAATGAAAATTTGAGTCAACTCCATGTTTGAAAGAGCAGAGTGGATGTGTTTAGAATAATAGGAATTTGATCATATATATTTACTCGGGCGTTTATAAAACACCTTTCACTTAGTAAACAAACCAAAATGAAAATACCTAGTAATATAAGAGAAATGATAGATTTAAAAATAAATTCATTCTAAAAATGAAATCTAATAAGCTTTATTCAGATCAAATTGCTTCGAGCGTAATCCATTTCTGGTGTTTATTACAATGTGAATTTTTCTCAGAGATAAGCACATTTGAAAAGAAAAAAAAGATATATGTTGCTTTGGAATGACGTAAGATGTGAGAAAGCATTTTCGCAATGAAACTGATTAAAAAACTGACTAAAATTTGAAGAAGAGTCTGCTGTTCTCTGGGACTAATTTAACACCAAACATTAAAAGACTAGTGAACTCCGAGCATCCTGAAACGTTTTATGAAAAACAAGTACAGTAGAAGTCCGATAATCCGGCACGTTCGGGACCGGCTCGGTGCCGGACTACCGAAAATTCCGGTCTATCGAGCGGTAATTATAAGAACAATTAGGTTAATAATTAAACTAAAAATACAGTATGCAAATACATACAACAAAGTTTATTTTACATTTCATATAATGTATGTACACGTACTGTAAAACATATTTCACTTAGATTTAAAAAAGTCACGAATGTCTTTTTGTTTTCTTGACTTTTGGCGTTTAGTATAAAATTTATTTCTATTGATATGGAAATCAATAATTTCTGAAGCACTGTAGCTAGTACTAGCCTCGGCAAAAGAGATAAACTTATTTAGTGATTCTGTAGCTTCTGCCCAGCTCATTTTTTCCTTTTCTTCTTTTTCGGCATCTGAGTCATTTTCTTCAAGATTTTGAGTAGGCTGAGGGTTTAGTACAATGTTGATAATGTCCTCATCGGTTAGTTCTTGTTCAACAGGCTCATTCTCGTCGATTAAAAGCCACTCCTCTACCTCATCTTCAGGCAGGTTTTTCAAGGAATTGTCAGTACTTCTAACGACGTCTAAATCATTATCAGCCACGATTTTCTCAAACTCGTCTTTGTATTTTTCTGCAGAGTTTTGGTTTGCTGAAAGGGTTTCTCCAGTTACATCAAGTCTTCGAATTCCATGCCGAAACTTAAAGTTTCTGAGCCAACCATCAGAATAATTACATTCACTTTTAGCAATTCCTAAATCTTGGCCGAATTTCTTTGCCTGTCCAACAATCATTGGCCCTGTTACCGGCTTTCCTTCAGAACGTACTGCACTAAACCATTTGAACAATACACTATCTAGTTGTTCCAGTTTTGGTTTTTTTAATGTTTGTCTAGAAGCCAATTTTTCAGTTGTTACCGATTGAGAAGCAAACTTCATTAGTTCATCTTTTTGTTTTTTAATGTCATAAATAGTTGATGAGCCAATATTAAACTCATTCATTAAAACATTTCTATTCTCGCCTTTTTCTAGCCGTTTGATGATTTCTAGTTTCTCATTGAGAGTCAGTGTTACGTGTTTTCGTTTCTCTCCTTTTGAACTCGAAGGCTTAGGTTTTGAAACATGGTCACTGTACAGTTAGAACGAAAATCACTTTTGTTATAAACAGTTTCAAAAGTTACGTTTACTGCGATGTGAAAGGACACAAAACAACAAAGCACAAAAAAATGGCGAAGACGCTTCGTGATTGATTAACGGAGCTGCACTGCACCTGTATTTGTTGTGACAGCTGAGACTAGCCGGCCGCTAATAGTTTCCGAACAATACCGAGCGCTTCCGGATGATCTCGAACTACCCCGAAAACTTCCGAATAGCTCTCGAGCGGTTTTATTTGCTTTAAAGACACACTTTTGGAGAAAAACCAAAATTTTTACAATTTTCCGGAGCGATGCCGGACTATCGGGCATTCCGGACTGTTGGATGCCGGACTAATGGACTTCTACTGTAAATGTTTTTCGCTGTAATAGGCATTGTTTTACATATAATAATTCAATGTTTAATAAAAGTTATTATATACACATATAAATATAAACATACTTCTATATAGATTGCCTATCAAGACGGTATTAAAAATGCTTGAGTTATGTGACTCATCTAAACTTGTCTGTTAAAGTAATGGCTCGTAGTACGCAAAAGTTTGATGAAACCTGTTATATAAGCTATATCTTTGAACGCTCTTGAGAACATATCACTCCATGACAGCCTTTCTTAAACTGTGGATTGCACCCCTATTTTGCTTCACAAAAAAGAACTGTTGAGGTCACGAAAATTGAATTCAGATATCTGAACTTGAAGAAACACTAGTCTCAAGTATAATGTTTTCCCCCCAGAATAAGCTAATAACGGCAAGCTTTCGATTTTATTTTTAAGCCAATAACATTCACTGCAACAAAAATGAGTTTCTCCCTGTAAAAATCGAATTTCGTCTTCTAACATCTGACATGGAAGGTTTTCAACGATATACGAGTAACGTGCAAAATTAGTGATCTGCATACAAATATTTGAGGCTTCTTTAACTGAATGTGATTTTACACTTAAAGTAACCTAAATGACAAGACTTTTCATAGATATTATTAACTACAACATTTTCTTTTGTTCCAGGGTCTTGTGATTTTGAAGAAGACAAGTGTGCTTGGGTCGATGGCAAGGGCGATTACACCTGGGTGAGGAAAAGCGGAAATTCATTCATAAAGGATGAGATCCGTCCAAGTATTGATAAAACGCTGGGAACAGGAGATGGTACCCCAACGCGTATAATTTTCTGTAGTTTATATGTGCTTTGGGATCATTATATAATATATTTTTTTTTGTAAACAAACAAAGTAATGTTTCAAAATAATACAGTTAAAAAATAACTTAAATCTTTGTACTGATAGTATTTCTTAGAACTTCAGAACTTTTTAAATCGTATTTTTAGTAATAATTCAAATGACTACGTAATATTTATTTTGAATATTTCTATCAAAATTACATACCGATATTTAAAATAAAATTATTCAAAAATATACTTTGGATTGGTGTGACTTTACATAAAAATGTAAACTGTCGATGAGTTTCCTGGAAAACCAATCCAATCCAAGATGCATTGCTTCTCTAAATTTTATGTTTCCTGTACAGCTAGCATAAGTTCTTTTTAACTTACGTCTGATCGTCATCGAAGTCCGAGAAGTTTACTCAACATCTACAATAAAACATTGCTTTTTTCGTTAAATGTAAATTCTACGTAGTCTTGGTTCTGTGCCAAACTTTTTCTTCTTACGATCAGTCGGCATTTTATAGAAATTTTGTGTGTTCCGTATTTGTTTTCTTTGAACTATTTTAATTTTTACGGATATTTTTTCGTTCTCGGAAGCTGATGAGATTTTATTTTTTCTTTTCATTTATAATTTATTAATTCTTAATGTAATAAATATGAATTTCTCCAGATTTTTTAAAATCAAATTTATAACTAGCATTATGTTTTCTTAAGATTTCTCAGCTGGGGTTTTCTTTGTTATATGAAACCGGCTAATAGATCAAAATTATCCTCCATTTATTATTTTTACCTTTATCAGTATGCTTTAGTGCTTAAAGAAGCATGCGTGTATTTTATTCATTTCATAAATAATGTATTCAAGTTATTTTAATAAATGTTTATATCATAAGTTACTACAATTGTAGTGTTCAGTAGCATCTTCTAATCTTACCCATATATACTGAGATAAATTGTCTAAAAATTATCCATTGTTACAATAGATAGTGTGATATAAATTTATAAAGAAAAATCGCTTTAATTTATTTCGTTACGAGATTCTCAGTGAAGATAAACACTTAAGTCCTTACGCTACCTTTCTTCTAAGTGAATGCCAGGCCTTTCTCAGTGAGGCCTCAAATCATATATCTACTGTTACAAATTAATTCAATCATTTTCCTTGCTTATGTGATTTTAAGTAATTTTGCTCACTTCTCTGATTGCCCTGCAATTTTACGCAGTATGCAGTGCAGACAGCACCCGGGAGGGTGACTAATCACTTGGCTTGATCATTGGAACTTTGTTATATTTCAACATCTTGTGACCTGCACATATGCAAATATCAGTTATAGACTGCTACACGCATTTGTTCCATTTTGTATTTCCCTAATTTTCTTTTTATATTTTTTGTAATTAATGATCTTCAGCGCTAAGTTTCTGGAGAACTCTGCACCAGTGAGATGCCTACTGGCCATCACATGACAACGGTCATGCCCTTTTCAACTTCCATCCGGCCTTACGTGATCAAATTCACGCACTTCAATACTTGCCTCACACTGTGAAGCACTAACGTGAAGATAGCCGGAACACAACCCTGCATTTTTCAGGTTACTTGCGGCTAACAGCGACAGTCGGAGTTAGAGCATCACTCCTTTTCGCCTCCTCTTATCCGTCCTCGCGTGTCCTCACATTATCGTGAATCAAGGAAAAGCAGGCGCAGTTAAAGGCATTACCTAAGTCTGAGCTGGTAACTTCCCGCTTGAGATAATTCAATATTGTTACTGGTATTGGCATTATTTTAGGCGTATCATGGTTAACGCTTTCTGGTAACAAGTAGACGATTCGTAGTTTATGTTTCAGAGAGCGCACGATTGACGGTTAATGTTTCATTCCCAGAAAGCGCTTATATTCTGTTTACTAATGCACGACCGATGATAATGTTACATAATCCAAGTGGTGATTTATTATGATCCAAGTGGTGATTTATTATGATAATAATAAATCACCACTTGGATTTTCTTGACTTGTATTCATTCCTCCTCCTCTTATTCACCCTTTGAAGTTTTGAATGTTAGAAATTCCTAATCTCCCTGTTCACATTATTCTGGTGCAAAATGGTTATCACATTCAGCCGGAAGCTCAAAGATCCATGACATGATTCTCCGTAAAGCAAAGTTGAATGTTACATGTTCTTAAAAGGCCAGTGTCTTCTACAGACATATGAAAAAATTACAATAGAACGTTTTAAACAGTACACATACTATATAGAACACTTGTTCAATTATGGCTTTAAGTCAAAATTAATCTTACACTGACAATGGTTTAATAGTAAATTTCTATCGTCTTCAAGTAAGACGGGCACGCACCTTCCTTTCTTCAAGAAGCGAAAACACTCACACATGTTAAAATATACATAGAATATGTCAAGCTAAGGAAGAAGAGCAAATTTGTATGTGATTTATTGCCTCTTAATCACGCATTCATGTCGGGGCATATTTAGTGCTTAAACGGAATGATATGTTGATAACTAAACAGTCTCAGATGTAATTTTGAAAATAACGCAAAATTTTTAAGACTGTTTTATAACTTGTAATTCTGTAACTTCGAAGTTATGTTATAATACAAAATTTATTATAGTTAGTGTTACAAGATATCAATTTATTTATTTTACAACTTATTTTAAATTATAGGGCATAAATATATTTATAATCAGGTTTATGAAAATTGCATCGCTATGAAGAAATCATCATAATTGCATGAATTTATTCCTACGTGTAACTTGTAAAGATATACAGATACAATTAAATTTACAAAGCAATACAGGCATACCAAATGATAAAATTAGTATCTATAAGGATGCCATGGGCTGGAATAAGAGCTTTAATCGTAGTGTTAAAATAAACAGGTATTGAATATATATCTGAAGAATAGCATTGATGGCAGGACGACTTTCACGAGCGAGTTGCCGGCCACGAAACTTCAGACATGTTCAACAGGCGACATTCCAGGTAAATGGGCCAAGGAACAATTAATACCTGTCATGGTAACGAAAAGTCTAATTATTTTTAGAAACTCGTGGATGGGTCTTTTTCTGTTGATAAATACATTCAAGAATGTGTGGAATAAGGAATACCACTTCGGGCTCCTCATTCTCCCAGCTGCAGTAGCTACTTGTCATAATACCCTAAGTTCTTAGCAGATAAAATTGTCCATTGTTTCCTATGCTTCGCAATCGTCTGGTATATTTGATGACATTTTCGGCAGATGACGTTCACTCCTGTAGTGAACACGTACACCACCATCGACTTACTTCAAATTAAAACGAAATTCGTCGAAAACGACCATCTGATGACATTCGGTATGGCAAGAGATATGTTGGTGAACCCACTGTATCCCCATGCGTCCATGGGTTTGCTTCAGGGAAATCCTCTGCGCAGGAGTTTTGCGCCAGATTTCCCTAATGTAACGTAATGCGAGCTAAAGTGCAACAGACGTCGGTGGATTGTCGACGTTGACAGTGGTCCGTCTGTAGCACCAGTCCGAAATAGTGCCACCTATCGAGATAAAATAGCAAAGATCCGTAACTCTAATGCGGATGAGGTTTCTGCTTTAGCATATTGATTTAGCATTTGTGTGTCCCATGCAGCCTGTAAGGCATATTAAATCCTCTATTCCCACGCACGCATCACTCGTAAGACATTATGGTTCACATGACCTGCTATCTTACAATAGAAAATTTTTCACTAGTAAGCTGAATGTTTACCTGCGTTCAAGGACATTAACTTGCTTTCATTGAGCTCTTTGTCGTCTATGAGTTATAGTAACTTCGCATAAAACACTTACTGCTGGCAAATGAAGACAATTAACTTCTAACAATCTCTTTTTGTGCGGGAAGCCCAACAATTTAGAGACAGAGAGCTAGTCAACCTACACATGCGCTATCGCTCTAAATTTCGATTCATTTGCATGTCCTACCTGCTATGCATTCTTGGCTCAGTTTATTCATATGATTATTTCATGGTATTGCAATTTTCACAAACTGATGTGTATAGAGAAGAACTGTCATTTTATTCTCCCATTAGGTTACTACGTTTTCATTAATACTATAAACAAACAGCCTGGCAAACTGGCGAATTTGGAAAGTGAACTCTTCCGTGCTACGGATAAAGCTTTATGTCTCAATTTTTATTACTACTTGAAAAGGAGGCAAGAAAACGGGACGTTGTTGGTATGTATTACCATTTATCTCTATAAAAAAAAAATTGCAAATTTTGCCGAAATTATTGTGTTTAAATTTACCTTAGCATGGAAAAACTTTGTGATGCTTTCTTTTACTGATTTCTCTCTACAGAATTAACATAAAACTCATAGTTCCATTTAAATATAGACAACGACTACAGTTGTTCACATCCCATGGATTATATTTTTTTTTGACAACTCATTATTAACCACATGTTAAAAACTATTCAAATATAATATTTCGCAACATGGAAAGGGAGGGATTAAAATTACGATTAATATGCCAGTGAAGTTATATTACTATTTTACAATTTTTTATAAAAGTTCTCAGCAAGGATTTGTCAGAAATCTATTACTTCATATTACCCTTTGCGTAACTTTCGTACCCCTAAAAATTAGTTTTAAAGAGGAAAATATTACTTATTCTTAAGGATTTATAGTATTAGGTAAATAATTCTTTGCTACTTAGAAAAGTTATTTGATATATATCTAACATAATATTTTGGTGTCCTGTAAAACACATAGCAGACGGAATGTTATGTGTAAAACTAGGCATAATGAAAGCACCATAATTGCAAAACATATGATGGAAAAGAAAGTAAGAATAGAATATCGCAAGTGTCTTTTTATTACAATATTTGTGCACCTTGCAAATAGGAGGAGCTCCTTATTTTTAAAGGGAAAATTTAATTTTTCCTTACTTACAAAGTGTAAGGTATTTGTAATTCTGTAATCCTTACTGAAATAAAGAAGAATATGTGAAAAAATAAAATTTCCTCATTTGCTCTACAGTGTGATTTCATCCTCCAGGAAAAGATAGTTCAACTTCTCGGATGCGCTGTGGTTCATTTTTTAGCGCCGGTAACTGGAATGCTAGTGTGCTTTCTCCTGTATTCCTGTTAAAGAAATTTTTTAGTGAACCAAAAAAACGAAGCAAAGTTTCGTTTCAAAGAAAATAATACCTAGCCATACACCTCTTATACAGTGTATTATGTTTCTGCGAAAACTCTACGTCCTATTTTTGCTCTGCTAAATGTAACCTGTATGCATCTGCACTACGATCAGAAACATTAAATATTTCCCAAAGATACTTCCAACAAGTTTCGTTTTAACAGAATCTCGTTAGCAAACGTAATAACTCTAACAAACGAATTGCACATTTAACACGCTGACTGCACACGAATTATTAAAATGTATTCCAGGCCATGACCGCTGCTATACCATGCGTCAATTGGTTTCGTTCTTGGGAAGAAAATCTCTTTTAGGCAACTAGCGCTGCTCTACCATGCGTCAACTGTTTCTGATCGTAGGATATTAGAAAATACAGGACGAAATATTTTGGGATATATATTCAGGTTTAAAATCTTGCCTCAAGAATTAAGTCTAAGAAAAGGGCGTGAGATTTGAAAATTATTTCTTCTTCTCCACATACTTTCTTTGTAGTGACAAATGGTTGAATTTCTATTTGGAAAAAGGTTTTGCTTTTGCTGTTTGGAATGTCTAAAAGAAAACTAAAGAAAGATTTTTCAGTGAATCATATAGAAGTAAAGAAGAAACATGTTGCGAGGATTAGTACAAATTCGAATTGTAGCTATAAAGTATAGTCGAGATTTTTCAGAAAGATAATTATAAACAAAATTACGTATTAAAATTCTAATTCGAACAATAATAGACACAGTGATAATAAATGTGTTATAGATACTACTTTTAATATTTTACAAGAATTGTTTGTTTAGAAAGGAAAAAAAGTTTATACAAAAAAAAAAAAAAAAAAAGCACACTTCAATTTAGTAAACGGAATGAATTTGGGTGTCGGCCACAAATTGTTTTTGTTTCTTTCTTTAAACATTCAACAACCATTTTTTACAAATACCTACTTCAAATCGTAAGTACTCAAAGAATGTCACCTGATAACGGATGACATGGCCTAATCAGAATTTTTGCCGTCATCCCAATACTGTTGAAGCGGAAGTCAAAGTGTTAAAACGTAAGTTTAATCCAATTCTATTGCTCTACAATGTAAACCAAAGAAGAGGTTTCTTTGAGATTATAAAAGCTTTTCAGTAGCATCAGAATATTTGCTACATTAACCTCGACGTAAACAAAGTTTACATAATAATATTTATATATTTACAGTGTGATGCTTACGGTTGCAAGTTTACAGTGAACTTGATATTTTTCGTACACATAACCTTGTGTAGAATATTATATTCTTATATTTTTTCCTTTAGCAGTAACCAGTTTGTATATTATGAAGAATAGAATAAAAATATGATAGGCACATAAAGGTACACTGAAGTGCCCCTGAATTAGGGACAGACATAGCTATGCAAATTTTATAGGCTTCGCGGCATCTGTGCTCACGTGAAAAAATGTGGTAAATGCACATACATCTAGTACTATAATTGTTGCTCATCAGACGTTTCAATTAACAGTATGGGTAAAACTTCTGATTTAGACAACTATAATCTCGGAAAGATAGTAGGCATTCGACGCATGGGCCATTCAATTTCCAAAATCCTCAGTGGGCTAAGATTTTCAAGGTCTACAGTACAAGAGTATACAGAGAATACACGGATGGTGGGAAAAAACTAGGGATCAGGCAAATTGCAAAGGACAATTAACCTAGAATAAGCATGGTATGAGACGGCTCAGCCGTATTGTACATTGTCAACGAAGTAAAACATTAACTCAAATTACCACCCAGCTGAATCAGGCCGACAGTCGTACAGTCGGTAAAAGGATAGTGCGAAGCTCTCTTCACCATATGGGCTTCGGAAGCCGTACACACACGAGAGTACCTTTGCTGAATGCATGCCATCGAGCTTCACTTCTTAACTGGGAAAGAAAATACAGAGATTTGAAATGATGGAGTGATGAGTCTCGATTCCGACTAATTAATTCCGATGGGAGGCTGAGAATATGGCGTCAGACTCATGAAGCCATGAACCTTGTATGGCAGACTGGAAAGGTACAAGACCATGGTGGCTTAATCATGGTCTGGGATGTTTTCCCTTGCAATGTTTGGGATCTTTGGTACTTGTACCAACCTTCTTCATATGATTCGGTACGTAGAGTGGCTGAGTGATCATCTCCATCCATTTATGTTGTGCTGTCATTCTCACAGAAATGGAGTATCCCAGCAAGATAACTGCACCTCTCACAGGTCCCAGTTGGCTACTTCCTGGTTGGATGAGTGTTCTTCTAACTTGTGTCATAAATTGGCCACTTAAAAAGCCTTGACTTAAATTCCACTGAACATCTTTCGGACGTTTTGGAGAAAGGTTTGAAACATCATCGCACAACACTATCGACTCTTCCTAAATTATAGACAGCTGTATCCGATGTTTGGCAAGCCATTCCCGTAGAATGCTTCTAGAAACGTATTGAATCTAAGCTTCGTCGTTTGGCAGCCATTATGAAGGCCAGAGGAGACACAACACGTTATTGACTAGCAATCCCTTATTCAGTATATATTTTATATTTTGTATTAAATATGAAACTTCGTAATCTTTGTTCTTCCCTAGTAGCTTTTTTGATAGTATAAAAGATTTTCACCAGCTTCAGAATATTTTATGCATTGAATTCAAAGTAAACAAACTTTAAACATAAATATTTACATATTTACAATGAACATGATAGTTCTCACAGGCATAACCATGCCTAGATATTCTTATTTTGTTTTTCCATTTTTTTTATCAGTAACCCGTTTGTATGTTATGGAGCAAGAGAATAAATGTACTGATAGATATAGAAAGATACATTTCAAGTTTCTTATTAAATATGAAATTAAGTAATTATTGTTCTTTCCTCGGGCAGTTTTGCATGAATTAAAGATTTGATTTGGATTACTTGATTATGGCAAATAACTTGAGGGTTATCTCCCTAAAGGGAGGGATTCTATAAAGGAAACTGGCTCCTGTACAGGTTACATTTGAGGTAAAACCATGAAAATACCAATGAAGGCAGCCCGTTTGCCTGGATTCTAAACACAGACCAAAACAAGCAGTGTTCAGCGACTCTACCGCTCAGTCGCTGGTGCACGCATGAACACTTTATTTCATTTACAAAGTGTAAGCAACACTTACACTTTATTAATGAAATAAAGTGTTACTGAATTAAAGCTAAATGAATTAAAGTGTTTATTAAAATTAATGTGTTAATTAACTCACGTTAAGATAATTCTCTAAACGTTTAACAAATTTCCCCAAATCCATCAGTCTGTGTTTCCTTTTCTAAGAAAGATATATGATTGTAAAAATCTTGATTTATTTCAAACTACAGCGGTTGGACAAAAATAGGAAACACCTTTAAAAAACATGTTTTCTTAATATGGTGTAGGAAACCCGTTGGCATCCAAAACAGCTTGCAGTCTTCTCGGAATGGATAAATACAGTTCCTGTATGTTTGCCAAGGGAATATTATACCATTCTTCCTGCAAAACGGTGGCAAGTTCAGATAACGATATTGGCGGTAGATAACGAGAACGCACTTTCCGTTCCAATGTAGACCACAAAGGTTCGATAATATTCAGGTCTGGTGACTGTGGTGGCCAGGGGAGATGGGACAACTTATCCTCGTGCTCAGAAAACCAGTCCTGGACAACGTGAGCTGTGTGAACAGGGGCTTTGTCGTCTTGGAAGACATCATCACCATCGGGGAACAAAGTTTGTACCATGGGATGAACTTGATCGGCCAAAATGTTCACATAAGTCTTGGCAGTCATGTGCCCTGACACAGTTATCATGGGGCTAGCAGAGAACCACGATATGGCTGCCCAAACCATAACAGAACCCCCGCCATGTTTCACTCTTGGCAACAAGCAGTCTGTATTATAGGCTTGAGATGGCGTTCTCCAGACGTAAACTCGGCCAGAAGTGGGAAACAATGTGAAAGAAGACTCGTCAGACCATATTACTCGCTTCCACTGCTCTATAGTCCAGGCTTTATGACTTAAACACCACCTTTTCCTGTTACGGGCATTAGCATCACTGATGAGTGGCTTCTCAATTGCAGCACACGGCCAGCAATTCCCTGTTTATGAAGCTCCCTTCTAATTGTTTTGGTACTCACAGGGTTCGGTAACACAATATTCATTTCAGCAGTAACTTTTGCAGCTGTGGTCTTCTTATTTTTCGTCACAATTGCCTTTAATGATCGTCTGTCACAATCACTCAGGACACACTTTCATCCGCGCTGTTATTTAGCAGATGATGTTTTTTCGCTTTTCAAATATGCGGAATAAATCTTCGATACAGTACCTCTTGAAACACTAAACACCTCGGCTACCCTGCTTACGGAAGCACCTACCATACGTGCTCCAACAATTTGCCCACATTCGAAGTCTGTTAACTCTGACATAATGCAATGACAACCTCACATAACAGTACTCCGACAACAACTGAACTGTTTAGCACATTTACGAAGTTGTATAGGTGGCGTCAGTAGTCAAAAATGCCAGCGCCACCTACATATTTCATTAAAATCAATCTTTCTTTTCAAACATGCATTTCACAAGGTGTTTCCATATTTTTGTCCATCCACTACATTTAAACTGAAATGAACTCTATTACGGAAATCTTTCACTTCGGATTAGGTCATCAGAAAAGATGAAAATGGGACAGAATCAATAGTTTGGAGACTGCAAACTCCAGTGGGAAATGGATGGATGAAGGGTTCTGTAGCCCTAAAGCCAACAGCCTCAAAAACTCGGGTATGTATGTTAGATATTGCCTAAGCAAATTAATGATATTTATGTAAGTTTTGGGAATTATATTTAAATATATGTAACATTCGCTTTCGTCTAACTTCAGTTGTCTTTAAACAATATAACCGTTAAATGTTCAGCAATACGCAGTATCTTCCATCGAATATTTCTTTTCTTTTCAATTGTATGGCTTCTTTATAGACATATTGATTTCTGTAATGAGCTGTATTGAAACTTACTTTTATAACAAAACAGTTATGCTGTGGATTTTGGCATCTTGGGGTTTCAAAACCAAATGATCGTGCAATGCTTTAAAAAGTAGTATTTAGGTCCATACATATTAAAGTGTAACAACTGAGATGTAATGAGATATTTGGTCTAGAGCATTTTTTTTCCTCGTAAGTTGCTTTTATTTTTAAATTATTTTTATTGCAAGGAGAATGAAGCAACAATTTGTATCCATATCTAAAAACAATGATTAAATATATAATCATATTGCACTTTTTATTTATGTACGTCACACCTCTTCATAATTGAAAGTATTTTAATACTTCCAGTTTCAGGCAATTTTCAGAGCTATTCTTGGATCTTCTGGTTTTTTCGCTATTGATGACATTCGAATTCGAGTTGGAGAGGCATATTGCCATACTTCACCTTCCGGGGCAGATCCTGGATTTAAAAGTATGCAGCATTCATTTATTCTAAATAACTTGAATTCTGTTATCTAATGTTAATTGTGTCTTCTTTTGGTTGTAACTAGGCATATCTGATAAAGTTCCGATCTTGTCAACTCAGAAATTTCGTGAAGTTTAACAACAATTTTCAAGATACCTATCCAATAAAAGTACAGAGCTCTGTTAACACTTCCAGGGGCCTAAATTGTGTTGATCCAACTACAACACGCAATAAGCACAAAATGATAGAAATTAAACGTACATATTATATAGTACTATGCAGGTCTAATTAATAAGCGGACTGGCACCTAAAATTTGCGATTTCATTGATCAAAATATTTTGAAAAGGATTTTGCTAAAACGATCAGTTAAAGACAAATATAAAGTGTTATTTTAACAGAAGTGCCATGTTGCTCTGTTAGTGCCATGTTGCCATGTTTGTGCCATGTTGTCATGTCAGTGCCATGTTGCCATATTAGTGCCATGTTGCCATGTTAGTGCCATGTTGAATGCCATGTTAGTGCAAGTGTTATTTTAACAGCAGCATATTTAAAAAAAAAAGAAACACAATAAATTATGGTAATTGGCGAACATTCAGATGATATATAAAGTAACAACCAGATTATTTAACTTGGTTTATCATACGTTATACTAAAAACTTTCCTAACTCCTGATGTTAAGAAAAACGGAAAGACTAGTTATGAGTTATTTTACATTTTATACACACACACACACACACACCAAAAGAAAAAAAAATAACGAGTCCAGTAAAGCAAAGACGACTATTTTATTTTTCAATTTTTATATTTCCCCTACTGAAAGAAATTCCTAATTTTCAATTTAATGAAATCACTCATAGACTTTAATACTGGCACAACTCGAAATGGAGTTTCAAAACAAACACGACTAATGTTTTCCTTGGTTTTAGAAACAGGAATCACACTTTTGAATTAAGGAGTAAACATGTTGAAATTGACATACATTATTTAATGATGAATATTATCAAATTGTGTTATTGTTACCATTTGTTGCAGTTATATTGAATCATACTACAATTTCGCAGATCTCAATAATGTGAAAAATTTAGAAACAAGAATTTGTTTCATGAAACATTTGACCACTATAAGGTATTTTCTTCTTTTCGCATGCCTTCGTGTTGTAATTGGAAGCATAGCTGATCGCTACTCGAGACGCCAAAAGCTGGAGACCAGGCGAAGGCACTGCTCATTTGCACCTCTCCTGCTTCAAAATAACCTAATAACTGTACAAGAGACGACCGAACTAAAAATTCGCGGACGATAATTCGTCACCACCAGGATTTGTCAATTGGGTCTCCTAGTCTCCAGTCGCCCTTTAAAAGGGAAAATTTTAAGGTAGTTTATCCCTTCTTTCCGCATGCCTACGTGGTGTTATTGGAAGCATACTCTGCGCGTATTCGAGAGGTCCAGGGTTCGAGGGGTACTGCAGATTTTGTACGTCTTGTGCTTCAAAATAACTTAATGACTCTACACCACATTGTAGCATGTACTACATAATTATAAAACGGCGTTCTTAAAATGTAATGTTACATCTTACTCGAAATACTAAAGACAATAACTTCGATATGTTTCAAAAGAGGTTTCATAAATCAAATGTTATATTACGGGAAAAGGCTGAGTAACAACTTAGTATTGCGCTTCTGGATATTAAACTTAGCAGATTGTCAGATTTTTGTATTATATATTCCAAGAGGCTTGTTTTCAGCTTTTATCAACTTTGCTTCCTGGAAGGACTGCAAATGTTTACTGTCTCTGGAAAGGTTTCACATTGATGGTGTTAAAATCTGTTTCTTTAGAAGGTGTTTTACAGAAGAAATAATCCACCAATTGTTTTCCCACTTTCAGTACAGGTCACAGGCGAAAGCGGGTCTGGACGCCCGCCCGGCCAGCTATTTGGGTATTGTCCGGAGCCGACAACTGTCTATGACCCGTAGCTCCTGTATCTCCAAGGCCAGCGCATCTTGAGATCATTTAGAGATGTTTAAAATCATATAACGCCAAAACGTGCTAAATGCTAAGAAATACAAGGGAATGGTATTTGCTGAATGTAGAGAGATGGTACCTAAACATGACACATTTGAGGTATGGATATTGTATCATAAACACATAATACAAGCACTTATATTAACAGGTAGTACGCCACTAAACACCAAATAATCCAGCTTTAGAGATAAACACTAATACAAACAAACACTGTTAAGACTAGAACAAGAGCTAATTATAGTAATACTAAATGTATATAATATACTGTGGAGTACGACGCTAAAGTATTTAAAATGACACATGTGCATAGCACTATAATCAGCACTGAAGCATACAGACCCTATACAAAAGGAATTGTAGGCATTAGTACTATGTGATGAACATATACTGCAACACTAATGCTACATGTAATACAAAATTAATACATCTAAACTGCATGACACTTTTCTAGCCGCTGAAACATAGAGATTCCATCATAAAGCATTTCGAGAGAAGGTACCGTCATATGAACATTTACTACGATATTAATGCATCTAAAATATACAAAAAAGAATCACTGTTATAGTAGTGAGACATACCCCAATTCTAATACAGTACTTGAGAAAATTGGAGACACATATTAGATTGCAGATCTAACTACTTCGGCCGTTATGTATGATATACATACGGTTACGACCTTGTGGCAACCGAATGGGCATGAGGGAAATGTAAATTCCAAGTAATATTTATTGGCTTGCAGAATTTTGCCTTAACAACATATTTTTATGTACACACATCTGAATGCAGCTATCTACCTGTGTCTCTAGAATAGAACTACAGTAAGAAACAGTACATACGAAATAGACATGGCTAAGTTGTGAGCTGAATGTGAATGTTTTTACGAATCTTTGTTGCATGCTACTGAAGAGGCAAAAGACTACTGTTTAGATTTCTCACTGCAGTAAATGACGTTTAAGTGCTTATTATTATTATTACTTAGAATAAAATGTTAACCTATGAGATTCATTACATGAGAACAAACTTTCTTTGTGCTCAACCCATGTCACCCTTTGTACCAACGAAACAAAATTTGCGGAAAGCACTTTTTTTTGTTTTAATTTGAAGAAAGGTGCAGTGTCGATTGCTGTGTGTCCCAATCTGAGGAGATCGAGCAGTGCAGCCTAGTGACCACAAAAAAGCAAAGACTGCAACATAGACACAACTGTTCATCTGTTAGTGATGTACAGAAGTAAAATATGTATCACCACTGCTGCCAAAAAAAGACGATTTTACGATTCTGAAAATGGCTTAAAATAAAAATTCGTGTTTTCGGAGTTGTGCCAGTATTGCTGCTTGTGATCCAAGTACAAGATTATACCACTAACCAATTGATTTACCTTTACTATCATGAGCTATAAGTGTCAGGTAAATTATCTTAAACGCATAATTGTAACTCCTTATAGTTTAAAAATGAATTTGTGATTAATATAATTTATCGTAAAAGAAAGTTGTATATCACGTTACTTTTAATGTCCCTATTAAAGCATTAATGATGGAAAATATTCCTAACTGACGAATAACAATTAAATGTTTTCTATTTATTTGGAAACCTTTAGTAGCAACGCAGAAATCAGGGTATAATAGTACATAACACTAATAAAATAATAATTTTAGAAATATCAATTTTAGGAAAGTGGTACGAAAATAATTAGGTCCGATCTTATATCTCTTCTTTGTGACTGACTTCCCTAAAACAGGCTTTAACTACAATTTCATTGGCTGTTATGCAGATGATACGGCGCTTGCTGTAAAATCTATGTGTCCTAATCAAGCTGTCAGGAAACTTCAACAAGTCAGGCCGCAAATAGAATTTTGGTGTACCAAATGGCGTATTTCAATTAACGCAGATAAATCCAAACTGCTCATTATCCGAAAGAAGAACTCTGCCACTGAAATAACAGAAAAGCTTAAGCTATTTGACATAGGAGTTCCTAGAGTACGCAAGGCGAATTACCTTGGTGTTATTATTAATGATCAATTTTCCTGGAAGGATCACCTGACTCATGTCAGGGGAAAAACACTAGGAGTCATTCAGAGTCTTAACCCACTTATTAACGAGCACTCTAAACTGGACTTAAGAAGAAAACGACACTTATACATCTCTGTTATGCGGCAAATCTTCACGTATGCTTCCCTTGCGTGGGCATCAGTTAGAGACAGGGACATATCTAAATTACAAATTACACAGAACAAGTTGCTGCGCACCTTCACGAATGCGCATTATTTCGTATCTAATAGGACTTTACACAAGGACTTGAAAATTGAAACTGTAATAGAGCATCTTCATCGCTTAAACTCCAGCTTTTTCCAGAAAGCAGTTACATGCCCTCACATGTCAAAATTACATGTATTTGACTACATTCCACTACTGGAAGATAAAGAGTTACGACCGCTGGCAGCCCACCTAGCCAAAGATCTGAACTTTCCTACATAATGTAGAATATTCCTGTATATAGTTGTATATATTGTGTATAGCTTTTATGAATACTTTTTTTCATTATTTCATCGAAACTTTTATATGATATCTGATCTTGCAAACTGCACTTTTCTCACTGTAACTCTATGTCTGCAAATGTATGCTTTTGAGAGTTTGTATTCCTACAAACTCGTTCTGTCATGTAGTATATTCTCACAGTAGCTTATCATAAAAACTCATGATTGCTTTACCTTGTACTGCTCCGTCTGCGGGGCGTCTTCTTGTCTGGCCTAATTCCTAGGCTTGCGGCATCTTGCTCGCCCCCCTTCTGCCTCACCTCATTCTCTTAACTCCTACCACGTCAGACTTCCTACCGTCATGTGCCTACTGGCTCTCCTCATGAGCTGGAAACAGCGCGCGAAGCGCGCTACTCCAGCCATACTTGTTCGGATCGGATACGAAAATAAACAGTTACATGAGAATTTATTCACTAATTATTATTTTGTCATGGCCATATTCAAATTTCTACTGCCTTGTTCAAAATTAAAGCCGGAATCCAGTAGCATATGCAGACAGCTTCCACTAGCACTTTTCTTGCGCGGCGTGGTCAAAAATATGTTATTTCGACAAAGGGACATAGATAACTGTTTAAAATGCAGTTGGGTTATGATAAATCTTAATCCAATTGTTATCTGTTATGGTAATATGCGTTATACATTTTATTCTGACAGAGAGGAAGTTATTACTTCATATACTCAGTTTTAACTATGATTTGTTATACGTGAGGAGAATGTTCTAAAGTAAAATCTTGTAAAATATGTGTATGTCATCTTTTTACTTTTTTTCTCCAGGTCTTCCTGAGGAAGGTACCAGCGTATCTTCTAATATATTTGAAATGTAAGTTAAAGGTATGTCTTACTGTATGTGTGTTGCATCATTGCTCATTTGTCAAAAAAGAACTGGGTTCTGAATCCAGAACCCAGTTCTTTTTTGTTTTCGGAGAAACTTCTGGGAAAACAGATTTTACTGATGCTTGAAAAGATACTCAAGTATAATGTGTTAATGAAACTTTAACTTTCTACGACTGTGTTAACCATTCATTAGATTTCTTTTCGAACATAAAACCCAAAGGCAAGTGATAATTTCGATTGTTATTAACACATACATAAATTTGTTTACATATTAGCGGAAGAACCGGATGCCAGTTAAATTAGATTGAAAGTAATGCATCTAACAACAGAGAGAACGATACCGCTGCAATCCTTCTCTAATAGCGATGCAAAAATACGATTCATAGTCATACATTTTTAGCCTGATGCGATATGGAACCCACATAAAAAATTAGATAGAAAAATAAACTAATTCTCTATCCTTATATTAGAAACAATGGCATGCAGGTTTTAATGATTTTCGTCATTCTAATCAAATGGTCTTAAAAGCTCAAGTTCCATCCAATATTTCGTTTCTATTCAATTTTCATCGAATAAATGTGGCAAAAAAATTGATTATAATTGATCAGAAGTCAATAACGCCAGCAAACAAACACACAACCAGGCACTCTACTTTATATACATTCAGATTTTGTGAATCTTACAGATTTTTGATTAACAAACTTTACAATTTGAAAGCGATCAGTAGGGACACTTTTCGAAATAAAGAATTATTATTTCCAAACTGCGAGACTGTTGCCACTCGGAAAAAATGAGCACGAAAATTAGTGTTTTCAGAGTTTTTAATTAATATATCAGCTCATTAAAGTCTCAAGAAGATGGGAATAGTCGAAATGGCTTCCCAAGAATTTTTGGAATCGTGAATAATGTAATTAATCTTTGGCAATGCTATTTTTATTTCATTGTAAAAGATAGCAATTTTTTATTAACAAACTCTACGGTTTGAAAGCGAGCAGTGGCGACACTCCTCGAAATAAAACTGATTTTTATCTTCAGTCTGCGAGACTATTGCCACTCGGAAAAATGAGGGCAAAAATTAGCGTTTTTAAATTTTTTTTTTTTTTTTTTTTGAAAAACGTAAACTTGGAAGTTTTTCAGGACACAGAAAGGAATTGTAGAACGTTTTGGTGACGATAGCTATAGTATTAACTGAGTTATTAGCGACAAACAGACTTTCTTCTTAATATACATATAGATAATAAAATTATTACAAGCATAATTATTAGGCAAACACCTTCGGCATTGTTAGGCATAATACTTTTATTCTACCAAAACGTAAGTTATCGAGTAAACGTAAGTTATTGCTGGGCTGTCTCAAGTTATTGAATAACTTGAGAGACGTAAAGCTCGAAGCTCCACCTATCGGCGGGGCTTTCAGTTCAAAACAGCGAGAACACATTATATGCGTAAATTACCTAACTTAAAGAGAAAGTCCAAATTTTAGCAAGCAGAATCACATTGGATGCAATCTGAGAGTGTCGTATATTTTCCACTGTAAATTTTTCCACTCCAACAGGGTAGAAATAAGCACGAGGGTTCCCAATACCACTACATTCACGAAAGATAAAATAGGACTCTAACTATACGCCGTCAAGGTCTTAAGTTTAGTATTATTGTTAGGATGAGGAAAATAATTTTCTCCTATTTGACTACCTCTACATGACCCACCCAGTCACAATCCGCAGTAAATTAGATAGATCTCCAGGGTGTCAGAACTGTAATCTGTATTTGAAGTTTGTACTAGTTAAAGTTTGACAGCGATTGTCGCGATCATGAGTACAAACATGCATTCGCCAATCAGGCCGATTTATTGACGAAATAGGATGTATGGAACGTGAATCATATAGTGGGAATTTTTTCCGTTCTTATTAATAACCTCTTTATTTTCATTGCATTAAAAAACCATATATTTTAATGAAGCAGAAATTTACTGTTAAGTAAATAAGATAATATTCTGTACTTGAATTTAATTATTTGTATTTGATTGTTGTAAATTTGTTTAAATTAATTGATTGTATAGGGAAACTGATAAATATAAGTTGTTAAATCGACCATATGATACCATATAGTTCTGATTTCACCCATGATTCAGGTCCTAGTGGCAGAGCGGTCTAGCTGTTTGTTGATTTTAACTCTGTATATTGTAAGGTAATCATGTATTTTATCTAACCAGCTATTTTACAGTAAATATCTTTACTGTCCTTCTCGTAGAAAGAAACACTTACTTCGCTTCGACCTGGATCAATATCGGCAGCTTTCTGGGAAGTGTCTTCTAGACAGCGCGTCGGCGCTTCAACATGATGAACCCTTCCGATAACGGAGAATGATGTGCCATTTCTGGAGACTCTATATCCATCGGGATATTTGGCCTCCGGGATTGTTGAAATTTAGAAGACAAGTTAAAGATGCATGATCTGTGTGAAACAGAATTTTTCTGCCATATATATAATGATGGAAATGTTTTATGGCTTTAACTGTGGTAATCAACTCTTTCCTGGTAACTCAATAATTCTCATATGGTGTAGGTAGACACTTGCTCCAGTATGCCACGGCACGTCATTGACCGCTTATTTCTTGTAAAAAACAGTACCATCACTCTCAATGCTCGCATGCGTGTCGACAATAAATGGCTTGTCGATCTGAAGATACATTAGGATTATGGCAGATATAAAAACCTCCTTTAGTTTGTTAAATGCTTAGTTTGCGGTGGCAAAAAAGGCCTTCACAGTATTTTCTTGTAGTATGTGCAAAGCTCCAGGAAACGTCCCAGTTCTCGGTCATCAGGGCATTGTCGGGGCTTCTGCAATCTTTAACTGCTGACAATTTCTGGATCTGTACAAACACCTTCGGCAGACATGACTTGTCTGAGGAAAGTCATTCCTATGCGAATAGGTTTCATTTGGGTGGACCTAAATGTAGATTGACTTTCTTCAATTTCTGAAGCAGATTCCTAATATTTTCCAAATGTTCTTCAAAAGTTTCCCGACAATGATGGTGTCATTCAGGTATATCAGACTGGGTTCGTAGGAAAGACTTTTTATCTCAGTTTCTGTTAGACGATTGAATGTTTCTCTAGCTTTACATACTCTTGAATTGCCAAAGTTCTTGTCCGGTAGTTTAAACCGTTTTTTCTTGGTCATCAGGGTGTAGCTCTACCTGACAATATTCACTCATTAAATGAACTGTCGAAACCACTTGCTTTCAAAGAGAGAGTCCAGAATGTCATTTGTTCTACATCAAAGAGAGTGGATATAGAGTACATCCCAGAGAGCCCAATACTGGTTCGCTGCAGACCTGTAAATCGAAATGGCCAGCCAGGTAGGTTTCCTATTTGAAGACTTCATTAAATCAATTATGGCTTTAACGTCGCCATCTTCTAATTGGTCTTTAATGACTTCTTCGTCACTCCATTGGTGCGACCGGATTAATCAACACGAATTTCACCACCACAGTTCCAGCACTTAAGGTTATTATCTCTCCTATTCCTATGCAAGGGACTGACTGGCCCGGTTAAATCGTTTAAACTTGTAGTTAATTGATGCACTGGGTGCTGGACTTGAGCAGGTCTCATAAGGTAGCGGTCTTCACGAGTTGCTTGCTGGGCTGTCTCAAATTTCATGCCTCACTATAAAGCGCTTTTTTAAACCCTTCACATCTGTCATTCACAGTGCTTTCTGTAACTCAAGATCCCGGATGCTATCGATAATGTACTGCAGTGACAGGATTTCCAGTCTGAAAAGGCAAGATAATACGACCTTTCAATATCCGTGGCGAGCATCGGGAATGCATCCGTGGGCATCTGTCTGCAAGATTAAATGAAGCCTGCCTTAGACTTTTAAACACTTCTAACCAAAGCGCCACATAGAACTTCGATGTTTAGCCTCTGACTTTCGTGTAGAGTTTGAAGGATATTCGCGGCATCTGCTATCAGAGAAGCGACGAGATAGTAGGTTTTAACATGTGAATCCCATTTATTTGCATCCGACACTATAAAAAACTGATTATCTGCCACTTTCCAGGAGGTTTTCTTCCCACCATATGTTAATAGATTTTGAGAGGGAGGAACAGGCATGGCTAAAATTTTAAAACCATCGTAACTGCTTTCTGCTATCGCAATAAATATCTTTAAAGTGTCAAATTCTTTTAGCGACAGCAGCAACTCAATAATCGATTTGTTGTCTCACAGCAGAAAGCTCTCTTGTACTTATCCTTTTACAGACTAAGCTCTATACCTACTCCAACTTTATTTTGAATCGTCTCAAGTCTGCCTTACACACCTTCAAATTTGCTTTCTATTATTGCATTAATTTGTTTTCATTTTGTGATGATCTGCCTCCATCTTGTCTTGTCACGCTTTCATCGCTTCTTGACGCACTTTCATCTCCTCATAATAGGAGTTGGCGGCCCCTTCCATCTTTGCTTGGAATGCAGCAAAAGCACCAACCAGCTGTTTAGTTGTTCATCGCTTTTGTCATCGGCATTCAACTCCACTGCTATTAACAAACATAGTTGAGTGCGTATGGGTTCGTTCCTATGGAGATCTCTCAGTATTCAGAATTTATGCTGAAAAAAACAGAGGGTACTTTTCCCTAATACATTTACAGCATTGTTTTAGGAATCCGAATCATATATGGGAATTTTTCTAATCTGCTTAACAATTAAATTTACTTGACGTGACTTGAGATGAGTTAAAATCTCTTAATTTGGAGTCTATTAAATCGAATAGACCATGAAGAAAAGAAACGATTCAGAATTTATTTATTATTGATGATTATATCGATATATCCTTCTATTTTTTCTTGAAGCCTCTTTTTCCTGGAATCACCAGTAGCTAATTTCACATTTAATTTAATTTTTTCTGTAATGTATCTTCAACTGAATAACTTCAGTGTATGGCAAAAATTTAGTATTACAAAAAGATTTTACTCTATTTTTTGGGGGAAGATAAGCCTCTGACTTGTATAATGGATATATATATAAACACAATACTTACAATTTCAAGAAATATTTAAATGTTTTCTTCCAATATAGTCTACTTGTATTTGTTTATTATAATTATATCATCTTGTTACGATAATTGTTTAATATGTAATATATTTTATAGTTTATCACATTTTTTATAATACAGGGTTATCCAAATTAAACTTCCCCAACCTTGAGGCCTGTGCAGAGTGTTGTATGGGTCATAATGTGATGAAATTTTAAAAACAGACACTTCAGATCATGCGCTCGAGATTTATTACACAAAAAAAATTAGTACAAGAAGTTGCCGATAGGTGGCGCTGTAACACTAGTAATGTGCATATTGCTTCTGCGCAGCGTATCCAAAAGACGAGCCCTAAAAAAGTGGAAGACAGGCCTTGCACAGGTAGTTGTTTCCAGCTCGCTGATGCACAATGGCGACTTTGAAAGACAAAGCTCTGTTAGTGAAACTTTTCTACCAGAATGACGAGAACTCCTATGCTGCGATAAGAGCATTCCGTCGGCTGAAGATCTTACGCCGAGGACCATTGACACAACGCGCTCTACGAGACGTGATGATAAGGTTCGAAAGAACGGGACAGCTGGGAATTTTACCAGGTAGGGGACGACAGGTTGTGGAATCTGCACGCGTAGAAGACTTTGCTTTGGCGGTCGTGGACCCCACTAGCCAAACGCCACATGGTGTTGTCAGTGTTCCAACTGTTTCTCGTGCTGTTGATATGCCCTATACGATTGTCTAGCGTGTGATGCGTCAAATCCTCGGTTATTTTCCTTACAAAATCCATAGTCGTCATCAGCTGTCCGACGGAGATCCGGTAGTTCAGGAAACATTTGCGTTGCAGTTCCTTGCCAGAATGGAAGTCGATGCTGCTTGGCCGTGGAACATCCTTTGGACGGATGAGGCCCATATTCACCTGAATGGTCAAGTGAATACGCACAACTGCCGCATTTGGGCAAGTGAAAACCCGCGCGCTATCCATCAAGTGGCTTTGAACCCTCCAAAGGTTACTGTATGATGCGGTTTCACTGCAACATTCATCACTAGGGCTTTATTTTTTGAGGAGGTGACTCGAACAGGGTTCAAAACCAGCTCTGTCACAGGAAAATAATATCAGGTCATGTTGGCAACGTTTGTGATCCCTGAACTGCAACAACGTGGCCGCCTCCAGGACACGATACTTATGCAGGATGGTGCACCTCTCCACATTCTTCGTGGCGTTCAACAGGTGTTACGGGCAACTTTTACCGATGCACGTCTGATCAGCCGCTGTTTCCCTACAGCTTGGCCTCCCCGCTCGCCTGATCTCACGCCATGCGACTTTTGGTTATGGGGATTCTTAAAGGATCGGGTCTACCGAGAACACCCAGCAACCTTGGCACATATGAAAGACGCAATTATTCGACATGTTCGTGGAATTAATGTGGACTTACTGCGTTCCGCTGTGGAACCCACTGCTTTGCGAATGGAAAGAGTTGTGGGGAACCACGGCACACATATAGAACATCTGTAGAATGTCTTGTTGATCTGCAGCGCCACCTATCGCAACTTCTTGTACTAATTTTTTTTTTTTTTTTTTTTTTTTTGTTTTTTTTTTGTTTAATAAATCTCGAGCGCATGATCTGAAGTGTCTGTTTTTAAAATTTCATCACATTATGACCCATACAACACTCTTCACAGGCCTCTGAGTTGGGGAAGTTTAATTTGGATAAGCCTGGTAATTTGATATATATATATTATACTGTTCTAACCATTACAACTGATTAACCTTACAAACATTACAACTCATTTTAATTCATTTTAGCACTGAAAATCAAGATATAGAATCCCAGAAGCAACAGCCAGCATTGCATTCATCATCAATTCTTAAGACTACAAGTTCATATTATTGTAAGTAATAGAACTTAATTATTATGCGCAATGATGACGCAAGGTTTAACTTTATATTTACACAAAGTTTAAAAATAAATTCATTTTGTGGAAAATAGATTTTAGATCCCTTTCAATTCTTGGTTGGAAAGCTATATATATATATATATATATAATTATATATAAACAAGCAATTCATAATAATTTATAATAAGAAAACTTTCCTTATACCATGAGATAATATAATAAATATTTCTTTAGTAAATAAATTATTGTTATCTTACTTTGCAGCTATTGCGCAAATATTAGGAAATCTTGTTTTCGAATTCAATGAATTTCAGTTCATTCAATGTATGTATGATTTACAGATACATATGAAACGATGTTAATTTACCCTTGAAACCTTAGCGATTTAAATTTCGAATAGGAGAGTTCCTTTCCTATATAAACAATGTTGTGTTCTGTAAATAATGGCAATGGCCGTCGATACAACTTCAACTATTATGCTTAGGGTTAATACATTTAAGTATCTTTTTCAAAACTTTCTACTGCCTTCATAAAATGTTCAGTTTCTGTGTATCTACGATGCAAAAGATTAAACGAATATCACTTAAATATAAAACTTATACCTTCTGCATTTTAATGCTTTTGAGCTTTAACGTAAAAGCATAATCATTACTTTTCCTGAAGATCTTTCTTATATTTTCCTCTTAGCTTAATATTAAATACATTCTATTATATTCACATGTCGCTTGAATAACGACAGACGAGTGTTTTTAATGCCAGAAATATTTTTAAGAATGCATTGAAAGTACTATTTTTGCTTGTTTGAAAGTACTATATGACTTTTATATATAAGTGTCTTCAAACTGCTAACAGGACTTCAAGGTTAAAATTCTTAAATGATTTGATTTTAAATATCGGTATTATGCAATTTAGTAAATTAAAAGCAATTAATATTGTATATATTTCTGTTATTTAACAGCTTGGTTGAATGATCAGGGTGTTTCAAAACGGCGGAGAAAGGGAAGTCTGAAGAAGGTTATGGAAAGAGTATTTGACAAGAATGTAAATAAAATTCTGCAATTCGCAAAAGAAATGGAAGAAAGGAATTACCAAGATAACAGAGATTTTAGAGAAAAAATTCTTGAGGCAGAAAAAGAAAAACATCGGTTACTAAAAGCAATTGCGAAAGCTTCGGATAAATAAAAGTTTTGGAAATTCGAATGTCAATAGTTAATATATTCACTTCTATTTTATCTGTTTTGATAACGCTTATATTCATAATTATCTAAATGAAGTTATATAAAAATATTTCTGAAAAATAAATTACGTCTTTTAAATTATTTTTACTGTGTTATTCGATTCCAAATATACTTTCACTCGCAAGTAATGTAATCCATTATATATTGTACATTAAATGCTCCATAAATTGTAAATTATTTATAATACTTCTAAATTTAGATACTCTTCTGTTGCGGGGCTTTAAAATTTAGATACTCTTCTGTTGCCGGGCCAGATTCAGAATTTGAAGGTATGTATACATATATGTAAAGACCTATGTATTTATGTATGCATATATATATGTATGTAAATACAATGGTAAATTGTGGGCAATTTTGGAAATTTTTGTGTTTTTGAACTTTGTGTGCTTACAGAAAATGTTACGTTTCGCAAAATGCAAACTTGTATATATCATTTTAAAGAGAATTTATTACTGAATTCAATACAAAACACAAAATTCAATTATTTGTAATACAAAAAAAGGTTATATGTACTTTAATATAAATAAAAAACACAGTTATGAAGTGGTTTGTAATGTCTAGCTTTCCTGGCCAATCACTGTTCTTGTTCTGAGAACCTATCAAATGTTAATAACTGCCAGTAGAAGCTGACATCATGTTTACACTTGAAACAATTCATTCTTTTGCTGTGTTCTGTAGAAGGAGGGCCTGTTTCTTATACACTGCAATTACAAGTATGAATTTTTGTAAAAATTTTTAATATTTAGTCAAGAAGCAATGACATCAAATAAAAGAGTGGATTGGACACCTATCCGAAAGTTTTGTTTACGATATCAGGAGACAAATTCAATAAAAAACAAAGAAGGAAAAGGCCGAAAAAGAGGCACCACATCTATTGATGACAGAAGAATAAAAAGACTATGTCTCCAAGATAGAAAAATGTCATCAGCGGCCATCAGAAGTGATCTGAATGATGCTGGTGTTTCTGTCAGTTCAAGAACAATCAGGAGAATATTAACAGATGTTGGACTGAGAGGTAGAATTCCACGAAAAAAGCCTTATCTTAATTTCAGCAACGGAAAAAAAAAAGACTACAGTGGGCAAAGGAACACATTAATTGGACAGATGATCAGTGGTCACAAGTTATATGGAGTGATGAAACTAAGATATCGTTATTCGGTAGTGGTGGGCGAAAATATGTAAGACGTAGAATAGGAGAAGAACTACATCCTGACTGCATTCAAGCAACTGTGAAGAACCCAATTAGTGTTATGATTTGGTCATGCATGTCAGCCGATGGTATTGTCATCGATGGTATTGTCTTCATGTCATCGATGGGACACTGAATGCCAGAAAATACATTGACACTATTCTAGAACCAAAACTTCTACCTTCTATCAGAGATCTCTTTCCCAACAATGCTTCGTTTATTTTTCAGCAGGATTCTGCTCCTTGCCCCACGGCCAAAATATCGAAAGAATGGTTTCGTACAAAGAGCATTAAATTGTTGTCATGGCCAGGAAACAGTCCTGACTTCATCCTATCGAAAATTTGTGGCACCGTTTGAAAACTGTTGTCCGAATGAGGCGCCCATCAGTAAAAGGGAACTAATTGAGGCTATAATTGTTTCCTGCCATCATGTAATAACGAAAGAAGAGCTTAACACTCTTGTCAGCTCAATGAAACGTCGATGTGAAGCTGTAATCAAAAATAAAGGGTACCCTACTAAGTACTGATAACTCACTGCAATCAGGACTATCTAATGTATATCGATAACTATTATCGTTTAACTTTTTTGTATTGCAAATAATTGAATTTTATGTTTTGTAATTCAGTAATAAATTCTCTTTAAAATGATATATACAAGTTTGCATTTTGTGAAACGTAACGTTTTCTATAAGCATACAAATTTCAAAAACATAAAAATTTCCAAAAATGTCCAGAATTTTGGCCACCACTGTATGTATGTGTGCCTATTCTCACACGAACATATACATACGTACATACACACATTGTCGGCTTATTTGTGTCGTCGTTTGTTCCAAAAAAACCCTCGAGGTTGATTTCTTGCTGTACATGGGTTCTGGTGGTGAGACGTTTATTTCTAGATGTCATTTCAATTGAAGAGTGGAGAGAAATCTCTTCGGTACTGCATAATTCCAATGCATTGAAAATCTTTCTAATTTTACAAAGTGAAATAGCAGTGGTCCTTAAAAGGACTTTTTCCATTAGTCGTGCAGGAATATACATTACTAATGTCATGCAGAATGTCCAATAAATAGCAGTTACTTTAATTAACTGTTCACCATCATGCTTTCGCGAGATAACGTGGAAATATTTCAGCTGCCAAATTTCGGCACCATTGGATTCACATTTCCATTTGGGAAGCTTATATGCAGAACCACTTAAATGAAGCGAATTGTATCAAGCGACCGGACACGGCGCGATATTCGCAGCAGTACCTGAAGAAATTGACAGATAAATCAATTTCAGTAGCTACATAATTCAATAAAAATAGCTTCATAAGGTTAAAAAAATCAATAACTTAAATCTAGTAACGTGTGATAAAATCCGGCAAAAATGATTAAAATAAGTAACAACGTCGAGGTTTTTTAAAAAAAATGAGAAACTAAAAGCGGTAGAACTCATGCAACACGATTACTCAAACTTTTCACAGCAAACTTAATTTATGTTAGTTTCATTTCTTACGCACTAAATAGTGTAATTAACCTTTTCGAGATATGTTTCTGGTCAGTCTTTCTTTCAAAGTTTGTTTGGACGGAAATTCCTGGAAAGACTATTTTTAACTTTGTTGAGTTCAAATTTCCGAATGGGAAGCAAAAAACACTACCCAGCACTACTAGCAACAATTCTTAATAGAAATATGCACTTTATCTCTGTAACATAAAATATGAAGATTTTAGAGATTTTGCTTACGACTCGAATGTCAATGTTGTAAATGATATAGACGCTAAATTTCAAGGAAGGTAGGTTCATTAGAGGTTTAAACTTTGAACAGTTTTGTAAAAGCAGAGAAAAAGTACGATTTTTCAATGTTAGTTATTTTTATTGGGAAAACTAGAAAACACATACTTAAAATAATATTAAAACTGTGCACTAAGATTAAAAGGCAGTTATATGATAAGCAAAAGATGTCTTGAATTAATAAACGTTGAGCGATGCAATACCTTTTCTCGTTCGCTTGGCGAAAACTTTTCTGTAATGCTCAACTACCCTCAAACAAGAATTAATTAATTTTGATGTTCGTGCCTGACCGATGCCTTAAATTTCTTTATCAGAGCTATTATTCCTTCTGCGTAATTCATTGACCAACTTAAGAGCATTCATATGTCTTATTAGACTATTACTGCAGTACTCTGTCAGGTCGTGAATCCCAAACAACTCAAAGTTTTTGTTAAATTACTAACGAAATGACTCGCGTCTTTTCCTTAGGTTTTTACCCTCTAATCGTTTCTTTTAAGTTTTCTTTGCAGTTTGGGTTTCTAAATTTTTAGTCATATTTAGCTTACCAGCCTGAGTAAGAAGTTTGTCCAAAAAGGCCAATCTTTCATTTCCTTCTGACTGATACCAAAGGAGTCTTTTATCAACTGTGAGAGTGCATTTTTGGCATCTGCATCTCAGTAAGGTTTCAGAAGTTGGGACGTATCCAAATCATTCTTTGAAGCCTATCGACGTACAGGTGGTTCGTGCCAAAAGCGAACATGTATGAGGGTGACAAAATGTTTCACATCACTCAGACCGGGAGTGCAAGCAAAGTCATATGAAAATCGGTTACAGACGAAAACATCGCAGACGAAAATGTCGCGGAGAAAACAACGCAAGGCGAAAATGTCGCGGAGGAAACAACGCAAGGTGAAAACGTCGTGCTACAAAACATCGTGGGAGAAAACATCGCAAAGAGAAAACATCGCAGTTCTAAAACATCGTGGTACAAAACATCGTCGTTGAAAATATCGTGGCAAAAAATAAAGTATCTACAAATCATCGCATGACGATAACATCGCAGACATGCTTTTTTCAGGCATGCTTTAATAAGTGTAAATGGATATTCCCATAATGATTTGTGAGCGCAAGATGGAAAGAAGGATAATTTTTATTTTCATATTTTTTATTAATTAATAAATTTTTGCTGAGAAAATAAAAAGGAAACTTAAGCATAGAAAATTAATACAACTTATAGCACTTAATAGAATTTTAAACCGACATAGTTAACTAACAAAGGCCATTAATAAATCATTTTTAAAAAGTTTTTACTGGTAATATTTCATGAAAAGTATAATCTATAAGTTACATTTAATTTTCTATGCTTAAGTTTCCTTCTTACGTTTTCAGCAAAAATTTATTAGTTAATAAAATATGTGAAAGTAAAATTTATCCTTCTTTACACCTTACGCTCACAAATCATTATGGGAATATCCATTTACAATTATTAAAACCTGAAGAAAGCATGTCTGCGATGTTATCGTCATGCGATGATTTGTAGATACTTTATTTTTTACCACGATATTTTCGACGACGATGTTTTTAACCTGCGATGTTTTTGAACCGCTTTATTTTCTACGACGATGTTTTGTACCCCGATGTTTTAGAACTGCGATTTCTCTTTGCGATGTTTTCTCCCACGATGTTTTGTAGCACGACGTTTTCGCCTTGCGTTGCTTTCTCCGCGGCGTTTTCTTCCACGATGTTTTTGCCGCGATGTTATCGGCGGACACCATGAAAATCACTTCTTTCCAACAAGGAAACACCCTAAATAGCCAATTTCCCGAAATTCTTTGAAACCTAGAGACCGTAGCTTCAAACAGTCTGACAGCCCTTATTACATGGTTGGACTTGAAAAAATTGCGATAATACCGCTCCCTCAAGCAGCATTCATAGGTATTTGTCTACTTATCATTATGTGTATGCCAAAAATTAAAAAAATACTTTTGCCAGTTAAACAGAAAACAGTGGTTGCTTAACAGTGCAGTTGTGTACGAAGAGACATCTGTGTTTTTATGCGAAACATCTGATTTTCCCAGAAACTGAAACAGACTGTTAATATGTTGGCTCTAAATGCTTGTATCTTGGCTTAGATGCTTGTATTTCAGGATTAATGAGGAATGCAATTCAAATATTAAACTGGTCTGTTACCTGAGACCACAATATGGTCTTAGTAACGAATGGTAAAGAAAGAATTCAAACATCAAAGATCCATTTTCCAAAAAGTAATAGTGAGACCAGAGATCACCTCTCATTTTCATCTAGGCGGCCTGTATCAGGCATTCAGTAACACACATCATTTATAACGGAAGCCGAAAGCTTAGATATGGGAAGATTGACATGTGCAGAAGTTTCTTAAGTACTCCAAATTTATGACGGAAATGATGCAGGTGAATGGACTATATGCAAAAGAATATTATTACAAATTTTGTACATAAAAAGATGATGTTAGTGCAATAAGACATGAAAATGTTGTACTATTTGTATAATGAAAATCTAGAGGAATTCAAGCTTGCGGGAAAGTAAAAACACAGGGACAAGTCTATTTAACCTTTTGAAGACGGGATGGCCATTATAGTGGCCATAGAGTCCTCTCTTAGAAAAGATGGGGTTGTCCACTTTAGTGGCCATGTCTTTTTCCATTTCCAGGCTGAAAAGTGGGGTGAAATGTCAAATTTGACGTCCCTAGGGTTTTAACCACTTATCTCTTTCAAAGGTCTTCCTTTTGCGACATAGATGCACCCCTCTGAGAATGCATTAAACTACACAAGAATCTTTGTTGCAGATAGGAGGTGATTTCTTAAAGGGGGGAAAGCATTCGGTTCAAGATTCCTTTGGTACAACATTCCTTTGGTAGCTTTTCTACTTCGAAAGCCCCGGCCTCAAAAGGTTAACATTGTATAAATGGCTATCTCGTCAAATTGCCTAGATATCGCCAAGCTAGCAGCGGTTTTGGCGAATAATATTAGTCGCCAAATTTTGTGAGAATTCACTTAAAATTCCCTTGGCAGCATTTTGGCCCCACAGACCGAAATTAGGTATTGTAATTTAATAAATGTAATTGGTCACTCTCTTAACTCTAACCTAATTCGGCCCTCACATGCCTTCCAGTAATTTCGAGAAGCAGAAAGTACTCGAAATATCTCGGCAACTTGGTGAAAACTATGCAAGACCGAAGAGAGAATCTGCCCTTAATAGTTGTTGTTGTGGGTTGTAAGTTCAGAAAGATTTGGAGTGTAGAAATATCACAGAGTTGCCTTTGCATTGCGTTGTGTTAAACGCTGACAGTAGTTTGAAGTGTAACTACTGATTATACTCTGTGATACTGTGAAGAACTGTCGATTCTACTCTGTGATACTGGGAAGAACTGTACAACTATTTTTGTGGAATGTTCCAGATTTCTAAGGTGTTTCTTTGATAAAATAAATTTGATCATCCGTTCATCGGACCTATGTGCATTCAAACTATTACGAACCTGTACACTCGCAACAATATTAAAGATCAGTAGGAAATTAAAACAGTTAAACCTTACGAAAATTGCTCAATGATGACCTTCCTGAAATACGAGTAATAATCGAATCGGGGCATTTTCTCCAGGTGTTCTCCACTCATATCAGTATGTTCTTTATCGCGTTGTGTTTCCGTTTGCTATATTATATGAGACTTCTTTCAACAGATTGTTTTAGTTTTCATTCATTTATTGTAGTCTTCATATATGTAATCATTATTTCTCTATATTGAGCATTTTAGTCAGAAGTTATTTCTTAAATGTGTATTAGGTATTTAATAACACTCCTTATACATATATAGGGAATGTATAATTTGTATTCAAAATAAAATACATTGATGTGTAAATGTTGACTTACGCACTGTAAAGATGCACTATTGCAGAGACTGAATTTATGAGCCTACGAAGAATCTTAGTAAACAACAATTGGGAGTTGCGGAGTTTAAGCAAATGTCGGTATATAGCATCATTGTTTGGAGTAAAGTTACGAAAATGGCTGTTTTGAATCTCATTGATAATAGCGATAGATTATCCGAGTTGTATGCAGTTTGCTCACATGAAGTGGAGTCTGCGTATGTAGTGTAGTCTGCGTCCTCATGTGCTTACATCTTCCAGTACTCTAGAATGGCGTCGTCAAAGCGACCACATACCGGGCTATATGACGCGTTCACTTAAGCAGTATCAAAGCAATGATGCTTTTCAAATAATGCGCTATGCGGCAGGTCTGTCATCCCGTGGTTTTTCAGTCCCGGATGAATAAGTCCTGTCTCGAAGACCATGAGAGCTGGTGTCCACCAAGTACTCGCTTTGATACTGAACTTGCGCAGCAGTGCTTTTGTGTTCTTAAGTCTCCCACAGCAGTTTGTTGCAGACTGTCATTTCATATTTCGAGTGCAAGGCCACCAGTGGCCGAGCGGTAAACTTGCTGAACACTAGTAACCGGTCTGCGGTTCGAATCCGGCGAACGGGCTGCCTGCACTTGTGTTTTCGTGGTTTTCCTCATGTGTAACGTATATACGAACCAGTTTCGCTTAGACCGAGACCCACGAAGGCATCCCTCCCCTTAGTCAGATAACTCTCGAATGCTCCGTCGTAATTAGACAAACCAAACAAAACAAAACCATATTTGCAATGCACTACAATGTGTGCTGTTTTGGGCAATTTGCACAACTTTGTACTGTTAACATATCAGCATGCACTGTAAATTGTCATACAGTTTTGCAGATGGAGCTTGTATCTGTTTTTTTTTTTTTTTTTTTTTTTCCCAAAAGCTTCGTTATTTATAAGTCTGGATTTCAAGTTAGTTTTGTGCTTCTCTGGGAAACAGTTAGATGTCACGTGATTTACCTGATACGAAATTTATCAGTGTACAATTAAATTGGCTGTATATATTTATGTGACGTTGTTTTTGTTTTTTCCTTCCAATATCGAAATCTAAAAACGTTCAGTTTCTGGAAAGTTTAGCAAATACTATAGTCATAACTGTAGCGATAAGACATTATTTGCGTATTTCTTCCTCATTATCACTTCTTTCGGTCTCCTAAGAAAAATATCTCTTATCTTTGACTTACATGAAGTGCACTTAACTTTTAGTTTTGTTTCTTGTTCACCTTTGCACCCGAAGTCTGTGCTTAGATGATGCAAGGAAGATAATAAAAGCACATTAAGGATTGTCATACTCTCCTGTGGAGTGTTTCTCATCATAGTATTTTCGGAGCAATAATTCTGACAAGTGCTTGTAGGGAAATTAGATTTCCTTTTAGATATCAGAAATTTCACATGAATGTTAGCGACCACAGAGTGAACATTCAGATCGTGTGAAACGAGAAAAGCATGGATCACTTAATAAGAAACTTTCTGATGGTAATCTTGTTTGCATGTTATGTTTCAGGTAAGAGAATATTGTTTTAATAGAAAGTATTGCTATGAATATTAATTTGATATTAAACTTGCGTAGCAGAGCTATATTAGTAATATTAATTCGATTAAGTTACTCAAATTTTAAGCATCGCATAGAATTATTGTTAAAAATTTTACTGTAATAGAACACGGTTATCACAAGCCTATATGTAAACGCTTGAGTCTATGCAAACATTATATATAGCACAGGGATCAGGATGTGTTAGCAGTGGTCCCAAAAGCATAGATGCATTTCTTGAAAGAGCACTCAAAAGCAGGAAATAAAAATGGGAAAGGTTTCAGATTTTAACGGTCACCCGAAAGTGTTTGTTAAGGTTTTCTTACGTTCCTGCTGAGCTCATAGCCCTACTAGTCTGCTGTTACACTCACTTCTTCTTCTTTTTTTTTTTTGTCTTTTTAGCTTTCTAATTTTGCATCATTTCCTTTGCACTTATGACATGTACAGTTTAACAACAAAATTACAAAGTTTTAAAAGCAGCATAGCAGCAGTATATGCTTAGTGGCACAATTCCGCTTTAAGGACCGTAAAAAAATTGCAGCGAAAATGGCGCCATATCTAGTGTACGCACTGATTTCAGATTGCGTAAGTTTATATAGTTCTATATTTCTTAAGACGCCATAAATAATACTAGTTCAATTTTTAAATCCTTTTTTTTTTTAATTTTAAATCCTTTTTTTTTTTTTTTTTTTTGATATCTTATGGATTTAACAATTTGGGAATTGCCCATGACGAAAAGTGTGCAATAGAATTTTGGATAAAGTGCAGAATCACCCACTGCTTGACACGCTTTTAAGAATTGCACATACTCGGTATCCATGTACACATCGACCTATTTTCACTTAAAGAAAATTCCAGAATTGCACAAAAACGGCACTTCGCACACCCTTGACTTTATCTATGTACACATCGACCTATTTTCACTTAAAAAGGAAAAGAGGTACTTTTCCGTTTTGCCGGCGCAGGCGATAAAGCCGCCAATAGTGGTACAACTGATGCCAAACGGAATATCCTCTCTGGTAATCTTTTACGCCTCATTTTCAAAACAAGTCGCAGCCATTTCTAATCAAATTGTGTCTTTCAATTATGCCAAAAATTATGTTTCTCCCTAATAAATCTGATATATTTTGCACCTTAAGAACTGGTAACTCTTTGAAGTTTTTCTCTAGTTTAACTAGGTACTCTACCCTTAAAATGTGCACAGTTCTGAACAATTTTATATAAATATGCTGGTAAATCGCAGAAAACTGGCAGCTTTAATTTCTCATGATTTAAATTATAAAGTTTATTGAGTTGGCTAAAAATTAAATTCGATTTGTACCGATAGATAACATTAATTTCATTTTGTTATCCTTTTGATGAACTTACATACATTTTTTTTTAAAGATTTAGCAGCTGACATTTTTAGTTTGCTTAAGAAACAAATTCCATGTATTCTTGTTTGCAACTCTTAGTTGAAAGGCAGTTTTAACATGGGGTGCAAAAATAAACATTTATGACTTACTTTACTTTTTTATTTTCATAAAGGCAGGAAAGCGGCTGAGGTTCAAAGAGAGATATGTAATGTTTGTTATGTTGATTGCTTAAAGGAACGCATGTGTGAAAAGTGTTTTAAAAACCTTCGTGCAGGAGATTTTTCACTTGAAAATAACCATGGAACTAGCTGACATTCTAAAGTTGATGATAACAAATTTAAAGCTATTATTGAATCGAATGATCATGTAATTGTACGAGAGATTGCTGAAAGGTTACATGTATCCCACTCAACATTTGAAAATCGCATAAATATATTTGGATTTGTTAAAATGCTCGATATTTCGTTTCTGCATGAATTGAAAGAAGTTTACTTCACTCAACGAATCAATGTAAATCACATTTTAGACGTCGTTGTTAATAAATTGTCATTGTCAAATAACATTAGTCGAAAAGGATCATGGTCCAAACATAATCAATCAACATAAATGATATCGAAATGATAAGAAAGTGTTGCTGTCGATTTCGTTGGATTCCAAAGGTTTTGAATATTTTGAGCTGCTTCCAAGAAACCGTATGACCAATTCAGATATTTACTGAAGGAAGCACTCAAAGAGAAAGGACTAGAAGTTTCAAATCGCAAAAGAATCATGTTCCACCACGATAATGCTAGGCCTAACACTTCTTTAGCAATATGTAATTATAAGATCTTGGCTGGGAGGTGATGTCGCATCCCCTACGCAGCCGCGAACTTGCACCGTCGGATTATGATTTATTTCAGAAGTTTACAAAACTTCTCAAATGGTAATGAGTAATTTTAGTAATAACAATGCCTGAAAATCACACTCGGTTGAGTTTTCTGCTGATAAATGGTGGATGTTTTATAATCGCGGAACTGAGCGAGGGAAATAATGTTCTCGAACATTGGAATGACTAAAAATCCGAATTTCTTTTTTTGCGAATACAATATATATTACTTACTACACATAACCACCTTGAGGAATTTTCATAAGTTTAGGTCATTCGCAACAGATTTTATGTTATAACATGGTAAAGTTAGCAATTGGGTAAGTCAACCAATAACTCGTTCTTTTATCGATTATTACATATAATTCCCGATTCATCTTAATCTGGCGATTACGCATAAAGCCTAGAAATGTATAAATTAAAATTTATTGAACGTTTCACCAGGTACCTTTAACAGCAATTTATTTGCAACACTAGGGAAGGGGAAAATTTAAAAAAAAACCTCAACCAAATAATTAGTGAGTATATACAATAACAAAATTAATCCTACCTATTTATTATAACATACGCAGTGTATCTTCAAGTTTTTCAAGACTAACTTCTAAATCGACGTTTGTGAAACTTTAGTGTTGATCTTATTTGTATTTTTCGTCTGAGTAAAGCAGTATTCCTTTAACAGATATCATTCCCATTCTTTCATTTCAGTTACTAAAATATCATTAAAATAAAATATACTACAAAAATTTAATTAGTACTAAAATTCATACTAAACACTCTTACTGCTTAGCCTCCAGTATGGAGTTTTGTGACAGTATATTGTTATACAACACAATCCAGTCATTCAGTTGCTTTTAATGTAGGACTATGCTTCTCCCTAATGGTATCATAGGAAAGCAAATATTAAAACGCTGTTTGAGAGGTGCACGAATGTTTATATCTTCGAGATAACAAATGTTACATTCAATCTAAATACGTTATTAGATAGGTAAAAGAGCACATTAGCAAAGACACAAAAAATTACATTGAACAAATGGTATCGAATACTAATGCGTCAGAAATAGCAAAATTTTGGTAACTTCAAAGCTCCGTGCGCATGCTCAAATGCGTTTGAGTGGCCTTGTCGTCTGGTAGATAGTCAGCGTGTTCATGTGATGTTTGCTCTACTTTAAGAAATGAAAAGGCATTTGATTTTATGAAACATCATTTTAATCACAATATGTTGTCAATAAGTTATCGAAATCCACTTAGCAATTTATTTATTAAATTAACATTTACTAGGAATATAACTGCAGGCATCTTCATTTACCAATTTTTCGTAGGGTCACTTTGAATAAATAAATGTAATAAAAAATAAAATTAAGTAAAAAATAATATATGTGTATGTAAAATCTTTCGTTATTTTATTTTTTCTTTAGCATCTTCACACTTCCGTTAGTAATTCTACGCGTGAACCGCCAGTGGCTTTTTTAAACAGCGGTTTTTTAAACAAAGAGAGTCTACCGACATTTTTTTTTTCTTAATTCCTTTCAGAAATATGTCCATGGTGTGCTTGAAAATGTGGAGTTTATCGTCTGTCACTTTGTATGGATTTATATTTATTTTAACTAACAAGTTAAAGTTCAAACTTTCCTATAAGCCTTCATTCCCCTAATTGTCCGTGCGAGAATACTTCAATTTTATAGCGCGCGTGAAGCAATGCAAATTTCTACTTTGAAGAAAGTATTTAAAAGCCGAGTTTCAGTAGGAGAAAAGAAAGAGAATTAGGCTCTAGCCGTTACCTCTGCCGTAGGTACGTTTGCTTATTGCTGGTTCAAGTGGTTTTATTGCATTTATTTCCTGCCACTAGCTTCGAAGAGGGTTTAGGTTACGGGATGTCACTGAGCCAGTTCTATCATTTGTTAAGTTCCGTTCAGACGAGGGCGTAAAGGGCATAAGTGGTTAAAGCCGGGCTCCGTTGCCGAGGCAACCAGTTTGTGCTACATCACAAAATCTGGTTTAGGGCTCGTGGCATAGGGTTCAAAGTTTTCAACTTTCAAAAACGCCGAGTTTGGGATAAGCGTCGACCAATCAGAGCGAAGCGGCGTTCTAGACAATATTTCGCTGTCACAAAACCAGCAGAGCGAACGCGGGAAATCAAACGAGCAGAAGAATAGCGCGGGGAAGCGATAGATATATCTACGCATGCGCAAATTTAGCTTCTCTCATTGGCCACATTCTACCTTTATTATAGTATTTGAATAGAACATGTGGCAACGATTAGATAATTATATTCTTTGAATGATATAAATTTTGTGCATTATGAGTTATAATATGAACGAAATATATAAGTTAACTGTTATATAATTATTGGATTATATAACAGTTAACTTAGTTTCCGTTATATAATTATTATATAAGTTAACCGTTATATAATTATTAATACTGTTAAGTGAATCTAGCGCCAGAGTGTCGCTATGGTAAATAAATACTAGAGTGAATTTTAAAGAATGCATTTATTCTATTGTGGTTTATGCGCTGTCGGCGAAGTAGATTTAATTCAATCCAATAAGATTAAATGAAATGCAAGAAAAAATGCGTATAATTTAATATTCCAATACAAGAAAGTCATGTGGTGTACACATCAGATTTTTTGTATTACATAACATGAAAATCTAGAGAAGCGAAGCTTGTCAAAAAGTAAGAATATAGGGTAAGTCTATTTTACATTTAATAATGGCTAGATATCGCCAAGCTGGCAACGGTTTCAGGGAATAATTTTGTCACCAAGTTTGGCGATGTCCGATCATTGTATCACCTCATAATATGTACCATAATGTGGGCGAAGCTCGGCCCACCCGACTGTACGAAGAACAGCCACAACGGCCATAAGACTCCATACACTTCCAACCACAAACGAGGATAACCAGCAACCCGAAGCGCCCCAAAAACCTAACCAGCCCTCGAGAGACCATACCCTGGAGGCCGAGTAACAAAAGTCTAGTAAAAGGAAAATAATACAAATCATAAGAGAGGGCAGTTCTATAGAATCCAAAATACATAAAATCGAACAATGAAAATACAAGTAAACATTTTTTAGGACTGCCTCTTAAGCGGCACAAAAGGCTAGAGTAGAGAAAATAAAAATAACTAACTTAGAAAACTGCAATTTAGTAATGAAATAAGGATAAGGGAAGGGACAACACAACTATAAATCAAAATTAATATTATGATAAAAGACGTAGACACCACCAGGAAATGAGTTCGTTTAAATCGACAGTACCTCATAATAGGTATTGTAATTGATCACTATATTAGCTGTAACCGTAATTCGGCCCATATATGCCTTCCAGTAATATCTCGGCGGCCGGGTGAAAACTGTATAAGATCGGAGAGAGCATCTGCTTTCAGTACTTAGTTCCGAGCGACTTCGGAGTATTGAAACCCTCGACTTTTAGACGCGTTTTGCATTGCATTGTGCTTAACTTTCTTAGTAGTTTGACGTGTACCTGATGATTGTAATCTGTGATACTGTGAATAATTGTACAATTATTTCTGTGGAAATTTACAGAGCTATGAAGTGTTTCTTTTGATAAAATATATTTTATCAACCTGTCATCGGACCTGTGACCCGACAATCCCTTGCAACCCTGTCGGATATTGATCAACTGTTAGCAACAATATTGATCAACAATTATTGAAGCAACAATATTGATCAATATTTTTCACAAAAATCTGCGTAGAAATGCTTGTCACTTAATCTCTTAACATCCAAAATGTTTTTTTTTTAACCTGATATTTTATTTTACGTTACGTATAAATGAAATCATTTTTCTCTTTAATTTGTGTACGGCCTCTGTACATGGTTTCAGATATCAATAGCAATTATTTTGGTCAAATAGAAAAACATTTGCTTGGCTTAAATCAGGATTTCAGTTCATCACAGTTCAACGTCAGAAAGAAGACAACGAGACATTTTTAGGTACTGTTCTGTTGTCAGGGTCGGATTCTGAAATGTATGTATGGCGCGTGTATGTATGTATCTGTACATATGTGTGTACAAACGTACATATACATACATACATATATATATGCATACATGGATATATACATGAACATAGCCATCCACACATACAAGCATACATACATACATTTCTGAATCTGGCCCCGGTAGCATTTTTACCCGAATTGTTCGAAGGTTTGGCAGCGAAGGTCATTGCGCAGCAGATGCCGACGGACAAAGGATTACCCGACATACTCTGCGTGCTGTCGATGTCTGCTGAAACAAAGACGCTCCATGCTATGAGATCATCCTGCCTCCTTACAACCATCTGAAAAGCAATCGATTCTAGGTGGCCACAGAACGAATCCGAGAGATTGTCATCCGGGGAGTGCAGAGTCCAAACAACATATGTTCTGGGGTACAATGGCCGATATTCCCTGCATGAAATCTGAAAGGACGTGCTTTAGGAAAACTAGGCACTTTGCACCCTTCATGCGTTTAGGCAGAAGGTATGGTCGACAGACATAATCTCCGACTGTCGACGAAACAGTATTGTAGACAGTTTTTGGACGACCACATAAGCGCATTGTGCGTGTTGACCATGCCTTCCCTCGTAAAGCAGGCTTCATCTGATAATAAAACACTAACAGGACGTGATTATGGCAAAGCCTCGAGGGCTATCTGCCTAAGGGGAGGGATGCCTTCGTGGAGGACTTTCTAAGGGAAACGGGCTCGTATACACGTTAACACTAACAGGAAATTGTGAATCATTATGAATCATTAATAATAGTGTTTGCTACGATTTTTCAAAAAATATTATATTTTCAATTAATTAGTTTTATGCTACCAAAATTGAATACTGATCTTTTCTCAAATATTTATTTATTTTTTGAAGATATAGCATGCCAATTTGGTTAGTTTAAGGTATTTAAATCATATGTGTTGTTTTCATTTCCTGATTGTTGTTAACTGCAAAAATGTTGTTTATATATCCGTACGTAAATTAAAAAAGTTCAGAATTTTGGTAGTAGTTAATAAAACGAAATTATTGAAGGAAACGTCGCAAATGGTTGCAGAAGGGTTCAAAGTATTGCAATTTATGTTTATATATATTACGTGAAGTAACAATGCTTTTTTTTCTCTCTTTAGCATTTCGGTCTGAATATTTTACCTCACATATTGGAATAATTTGTTTAATTTACTTTTTAATTTTAGCTGATGACCTTAAATGTGATTTTGACAAATCAAGCTGTTCCTTTCTAAGCAATGATCCTGAAAACTTCGAGAATTGGAAATTCGGAAGAGGACAACTAAACTCCGCTGGTGAAGGACCATCAGTGGACCACACAATTGGGACAGGTAAAGAAAATTACCTGTTGATAAAAATTTTCAGGCGTTAAAACATAACACGCTATCAAACAGTGAAATAATCTCAATATATTACATAAAAAAAAATCTAATGAAGAAATTCTAGGTTTTAGAGGTTTAAATCATTTATTACTATTACTTCCATTAGTTTTTTTTCTATAAACATCAACCAGATTTCATTCTCCTAAATTAAGAAATGCTACTTAAGCAAAATATATAACTTAAATTATAAACTATGATACTATTGTTGTCTAATGCTAATTAAATTGTACTTAAATGCACAATGCTCCAAAACTTCACTCTCAACACAAAGATGGACCATATTCACAATCACCGGTTATCAGAATGAAGAGAATCTGCATATTATTGCGATTTCTCGAAAGGTACTGAATTCAGAGAACCAGTAATTCTTTAAAAAAAAATAAATAAATAAAAAAATAAAAAAAAAAAAGGAAATATTTATTGTCGAATATATGAGATTACCTGTAGGTGTGGATTAATTTGGCAGGTTTATTTAATTATGGAAAGGAATGCTAAGGGCATCTGCCTAAGGGCGGGATGCCTTCTTTGAGAACTTTCTATGAGTAACTGGCTCGTATTTACATTAAGCATGGGGAAAACCACGAAAATATCCAGCCAGCCAGCCCACTAGCGGGAATCCCCGAACCGAACTACTAATGTTGGCCCTTGTATTCTTTGTCTACTTTTTTGGTTTCCTTTGTATTGTGGGGAAGGATATCATTTGGTGAAATTCAAAAGTGGGAACTTGAAATAAGCAATGTTTGGATGATGGAATGTGGCGGAATGTCGCCGGAAGACTGGAAGCAAAGGCATCCTTAAATTCGAATTCCTACAGATTGCACGTTACCGTCCAGGGTTACATGCAGAATATGGTTTGTTTGGTTTATTTGAGTCTGGTAAAAAAAGTCAGGGCTATGCGTGTAAGGAGAAAGATGTCTTGAAAGTCCTTCTATTTAATCAAGCTGCAGAATTTAATAACCAGACCTTCCTGCCATCCAACTATGAAAAGAAAATTAACAGCAATCCTATTTATCCAGCAGCCTGTTTTCAAATTGCTCCTTTAAATATCATCAAATGGGAATGTAGTCTTTTCCACATTTTGGGGGGCCTTCGGGTGAGTAGCGTGATTGCACCCTATTGACTAAATTATCGCGAGTGGGCTTAGGGCATAAATGCGAACTATCTGGTTAAAATTCTATGTAATGTATACCAGTATCGAAAGAAACGGTTTGTGACCATCTCCATAATAATAATAGCGTTTTCCAATCGGAATTATTAGCTATAAAAGCAGTGATTGAAATAAGCTATTCTAAAGAATCTCAACAAATTTGCCGTAAAATCTGATTCTTAAGCAACTATTTGAGCGATTAAGCATACCTTCCCTTCGTCTGCTTTGATTTTCGACGTAAATTATTCTCTTCATACTTTTATTTACATCTACAAAATTCATATTTCATGGCTCAAAAGACGTAGTGACCATTTTGGTAATGATCGGGCAGATGAATTAACCAAAGAAGCAGCTCTTAATCCAGGTGGTATTGAAATCAGACTTAAATGGCCTCGCTCAAATCTCAGTTACCAACTAAATTACTTGCTTAAAAGTCTTCAAGATTTGTGGAATAATGCTTCACAGGGAAGACGCACATACAACTTGATTCCCAATGTAAGCTTCAACCTTCATTAAATTACTGTATAACAGGACAAGGGCTATTCACCAATATTTCTACGCAAAACACATGGCGAAATCCGATATCTGCATATATGGGTTACGTTATTTAATTACGGCAAAGCCTCGAGGGCTATCTGCCTAAGGGGATGGATCAGGCGTCCCCGTCCTCTGTCACCTGCCTTCGTGGAGGGCTTTCTAAGGGAAACTGGATCGTATATACGTTGCACATGGGGAAAACCACGAAAACACCCATGCAGCCAGCCCGTTCGCAGGATTCGAACCTCGGACCGAACTACAAGTGTTCAGCGACTTCACCGCTCGGCCGCTGGTGAGCCTGCATATATGGGAGCAGAGAACTACTGATTATTGCATTTTCTCATGCCCCTTAACTGAGAATATTCGCATAAAATCTGTACAAACTGATCTCCTGGCATTCCAAAAGTTCTAAATAAACATGAGTATATGAAACTCAAAAAATTCTGAAACAACTCTCTTCCTGCGGCCTAGATCTTTGTCCAGTATAAATTCTCGTACTGCATAAAATTAATCAACTTTTATATCTTATGAATAAGCAGAAAATGAGTCCACTTCTGAACTTTATAAACAAACTGCCTTTTATAACTGCAATAACTCCATGGACATCTTTTTCGTATTATTATTGTAATTCATTATAGCATTGTGTTCCCAGTGTGTATTTATTACACTTATCTCATTATAATTATCTGTACACTGATTATGTTTATCTGTTATTTTTTTACACCAAATGAGATGTTCAATATAATTCGTGAAATTCATACAGTACTGAAACTATTTTGTAATCTATACATGTCCTAAATCATTGCTTTTAAGAAATAGTGGATACGGGGCGTACGGTGGGATTGCTCGATGTACACTGCAGAAGAAAAAATGGGACAGTTCTATAACCCCCGTTCTACTGGGCTGAATGATGAAATTTAACTTGCGTTTTTCATGTCTCGAAAGCGCGACTTAGAATATATATTAGATTTATATATAACACTGTTTTAATATAGGTATTTTGACACAAAATAAGACTTTTTCTGAAATGGCATGCCAATTTTTATCCATATTTCGATTCGACGACTCAATTTATGCGGAGAAATTCAAAAATATATCTTGGTGCATTTTTTAAAATTTGCACCAAGAATAATTCACTTGGCGATCTTCTTTATATATGGCAACCTATTGTCCTTTCCCTTCATTAATCATGAGCATTATTTGCATGAGCGGAAAAATGTCATATCCTTCCTACTTTTAAATAATTTTTTAAAAAAGTGCCAAAACCATATTTGATGTGATTATGGCTTTCAACGAAAATGCCAAATTTCAAAACTCGCCAATATATAAATTCACGCACATGTTCGGAAATTTTGATTAAAAATACTCTAATTTTTTTGCAGATATGCTTAAAAATACATTTACTTTAAGATGATCGTAAAAATTTGATTGATTATAATTCAAAATCGTTTTCGAAAACTTTATAAAAATTATTTAAATTAAAAATTTTAAAAATAAATTTCCAAAAATGGGTTAATTTTATTTGGAATGAATCTAAATTTCGAAATGTGAAAGGAAGAACCAAATAAGTTTAATAAAAAAAGAGAGATTAATGAATATGTGCCAAATTTAATTAACACTGAGGAGCTAACATTTTGAGACCTAATATTTTAAAAACAAGTCGGGCGATTTTTACAAAACTTGGCAGTTTGGCGTAGTTTGAGTCTTAGAATCTAAATATGGAAAAAACGTGGCATGCTATTTAAGAAAGAGAAAGTCCGATTTTTGTGTCAAAATTTCTATATTAGAACAATGCTACCTATAAATCTAATACCGCATTTGGTTTTCTACGCTTTGGCTTAGCTGGACTGCAGTCTGTCTGCTCTATCTGTCTTACTACAAATTTGTCAAAAATGTAAGCTTTCGAAATAAGCATAAATAATGTGGCAATTTGTGTAGCTGCAACATTTTTGTTGAAAGAAAAGTTGAATTAAATCTACCTCGACTGCCAAATTTCTTATTCATCGTGGATTGGAGTTTCAACATCTCTAACCCATCATAAGTCTTGCTGTTCATTACGGATTCAACAGCCTGTATTCGGCTATAGAATCTATTACATATATATATACATATCATTTGATGGATGCGAATTATGACTTTGATAGTATATATATATTATTGATTTGATTATAAATATATACATATAGTACTGTATCTCACTGCATATATTTGTATTTCAGTTCTTTAATTGGGAAATTAGAAAATGGCCTTTAATCACTTCAGCTTGTTTAACAATTTGATACCTAACGAGATATATATTGCCAAGGGATGGTACTTTCTAGCATCTGCTTAAATTTTAAGTTACCTACAATGCACTAAACCAAATTTAAATAAAACTAGATGAAACCCTAATTTTCAGGAATTGAAACACTATTAACAAGCAAGCAAAAACAATAAGGGATTTTCAAATTAGAAACTTAACATAGAGTTCAAAATTTAGCATACTTGCTATCCCCTTAAAACTTGCTTACCACTGATAGCAACACCCTGCAGCTTATTATAACACGCATACACATAGATGTTTTGCGTGGGAGAAAGGATGAATCCTAGAATATAATGTAGTGAAGAAATAATAATATACAAACACTGTGCCGAACACCTCTTTACAATACTTCGAATGTTACCTGTATCTCTTAGAAGATAAATGAGACATGAGTATAATATGTAATAAACTTAATAATACCCAAAATACAATAAATTTTATTGTAACAAACGAACTCTAAAAAATTTATATGTCTCAACAAATACCGATTCCCAACCCACAGTTCGGAAATTAAGGAAATATCTCATGGTGCAGGGATGGGCAAACGCTTTCGATCGCGGGCCAAAAATCGAAAACAAAACGTTTGGCGGGCCAAGATAAATTTTCTAAAATTTCAAAAACAATATACAAGTATTACAATTTAAATATGTTAATGAGATGCATGAAATTGCGATTTCATGTTTCATTTTTTAAAATTTTTATATTGAGTTTTGAAGTGAGACGTACTCATTCTAAGGAACGAGGCTAAATGCTCATCTATCAGTCTACTTCTGAAAGAATTCTTTTTAAGTTTCATAGTTAACGATACTTGTTCACATATATAAGATGAAGAAAACATAACGCTAATTTTCTAAAATTTCAAAAACAATATACAAGTATTACAATTTAAATATATTAATGAGATGCATGAAATTGCGATTTCATGTTTCATTTCTTAAAATTTTTATATTGAGTTTTGAAGTG